CTATTATATAACATCCATTAATGATAAAACCAGTGATTGATGTCATTTAATGAGGTGTCACGATCCACAAGAAATTATGATTGGAGTTGCTTTTACTACTAGTTTATGCCCGCGTTTTTAGTATTCTCATATTAAGTCATGATTAAGTAATATAATATGTTCAGTTGTGTCACTGGACATCTTGTTGGAAAATTTAGACGAGAGCGCAGTAACGCCCTTTTCATATGCACACGGCCACGGTGCGAATCGGAGCTCCATCGGATCGGCACAGTTCTTATTTGACCTTATCCCTCAGTTCAAAAGACCAGCTCCAACAAACAGAACTCGAATTTCAATAAAGTTTAGCAACGTGTTATCCTGGTTAAGTATGAAATGGTGTCAGAAAATGGCAAATTGGCATTTAATAGGATGTATTCAATTTCCTTCAAGTGGTATTAAATTAAAATAAATAATAAATAAGCATTTAATGTTTAAAGGCGTCCAAGTTATTAATATACGTATTAATAACTTGGACATTAATATACGTAGGTCGTATCTCGCGAGACGCGTAACACGAATGAGTATGATTTCAATGTATGTATATTTTTAGTTAAAATGTAAGAGAAGGAAATAAGGCCCTGGACACAATGGCAGGAGAGTAGATCGAGAAATAAAATTATTACCTATCTAATTGAACCTTATGTAGCTTATCGTTTAGTTACAATTAAGTCATTAATGTTTTGAACACAATGTTGAGCACACGTACTATTTTTTTACTGTTTATTCAAATTACGTTTTCTCGTCAATTTATTATAGACTCTGTAGATAATAAAACTGCGGATTGTGTACGGGATATTATACTAAAAAATTTTGAATTCAAATCACAAATAACAGTCATTGATGGAGATAATTACAAGATATTACCCACTATTAATCAAATGCAATACACTTCCGTACAGATATTAACCAGCACATCTAATAAATTCAGTCTACCGTTTAATAGAGAATATTTGATTATTACGAACAGTTGTGACGATTTCAAAAACAAATTTCATCGCATCACAATATCAACGACGTGGAGTGCTAATGCTAAACTTCTTGTTGTTCTCAAAAATGCTTACGATCCGAGATGTATTTTTGACATACTCCTAAAAAAGCATATGACGAATGTAGTACTCCTGAATGATACAGCGACATTAGAGTTGTTTACTTATAATCCATACGACGATTTTGGCTGTGGAAAGCGATACAATAGAATTATTAAGCTGGGTCATTGCAAAAGACAATATTTATTCTTTGACAAACTTAACACTGGAATACGAAATTGTACATTTCAAGCATTGAGTGCTCATATGCCTCCTTACTCAATAGACCCCGCTACTAATCAATCTGAGTATAAAGGTATTGAACAATACATTTTGGAGTTAATAAGTGATAAAGAGGGATTCAGAATCAATTTTACCTACGCAATAAATAGCGATGAATTCACCGTCATTGCAGATAATATGTCGGCTGTTGGCCCCCTGAGTGCTTTACAAACTGGAGAGGCCGACATAATAACTGGAGCAATGTTACTTACCTATCAACGCGCTATGGTTCTTGGTTATCTCACTGGAGGAGTAACTTTTACAGATTATCTACAACTACACGTAGCGACGGCAAAACCAGTCTCCAATTTAAAAAACATTTACTCAGAGTTTCAGTGTTGGATCTGGTTAGCTTTATTTATCGTGTTCGTTGTATATTCAGTATTGATGTACTTGATAATGCGCAAGCGACCAAAGCAGACTATTATACTCAAAATGTTTGGTTTCTTTCTTCAGCAAAGCAGTCGGGTAAACGGTGATAGGACTAATAGAATATTTATATTCTGGGTATTTTTTGCATATTTGATTAACTGCTGTTACCAGTCAAGTCTCGTCAGTTTCACCCTCCACCCACATCTAGATTATCAGATTTCCAGTATGGAAGATATTTTGGATTATGATTTGAAACCATGCATTAGTTTGAGTATGAGGAGAATATTATTAGGTACAAGTTTTATATTCGTTGTCAAGAACAATGCTTTGGATTGTGAACGACGCGTTGATAGTCTGAAGAAGGTTGCGGAATCCTCTAATCACTTTACTATATACCTTAAGTCTTTGTACGCATATGATGAAATTGAATATTATGATTCGTTTGGTAAGTCTAAGATTTACACCGTAGATTATCCGCGGGCACAGGTTTTATATGCAATTTACTTTTACAAGGGCTTTCCTTTGCAAACAAAACTACAACATCTTTGTCGGCGAGTTGAAGAAGCTGGTTTGATGAATAGACACTTTGATCGACTTAAAACAGAGAGACAGGCAAAACTTAGCTTCGGGATTAAGAAGAAAATGTTCCATTTTATCATGCCCTGGTATGTTTTAGGATTTGGGTTTTCCCTTTCGACGTTCGCTTTCATATTAGAAATAGTAATAGATAAATATATTCGTGTATGAAAGTAAGATATTGTAATAAAAATTAGCTATTTGTGTGTTGCTTGTATAGAACGCTTTATATAGCATGAATAAAAAATATTACCCTTGTTTTATTTTTAGCCACAATAGTAGCTTTTGTAATTGTTGCAATATGAACTGACAGAGTTTCAAACACTGAAAATGATATATGGATCTGTCATTTATTCTTATACAATGATATATGGATCTGTCATTTATTCTTATACAATGATATCTAGAATAATTAAGGCTATGTTCAGATGGCAAAAACTTGACGCGCGTTTTCAAATCGCGCGACTAGAGATTATGGTATTTTTCATACAACTGTTCACATGTACGCGCGTTAACGCGCGTTAACGCGCGTCAACGCGGCGCTCAGAGAAAAAGTCTCTAGACGCAGGTGATCGCGCGTTGACGCGCGCTTTGATATTAATGTAATGTCCGTTTGCTGTTCAGATGAGCGCGCGCTTTCATCGCGATCGCATGTAATTTTATTAATTTTCGTAATTATATTTTGTTCTCGCTTTTAAAATGAGTGAAATTGAAGATATTGACATCGACTTACTAATCGATGAAGTAGAAAAAAGGTCAGCAAGTTGGAATATAGCAAATTTGTATAAAAAATATAATATAAATTGTATTTTTTTTTCAAAATTGGATAAACCCAATGTGTACGTTTTCTTTTTCTATATTTTTCTTTATAATATAACCACAAAATAATAGCCTCTTCCACGTCCATTTTCTACGTTCTACCGAACTAGACTGACGAGTACTCTCGCAACGCGCGTTAGCGCTCATCATCTGAACGCTCTTCAAATTTGATCGCGCGTTGACGCGCGTTAACGCGCGTTACATGTGAACATAGCCTAATATTCCACCTTGTAACTAATAATGCCATAGAGTATAGATTGCACGCCATCCACTGTTCAAAAATTAGTACTCAAAACTCTCAGGCAATATAAACTCAGTGAAGTAAAAATATTTATGTAATAAAACTATTATACTTATTTAAACCATTTATTAAAAATATATAAAATTACATATAACCAACAATATTGGACCATTATCTAAACATTTACTTAACTAAGTACAATATAAACCATGATCCCTAATTAAGTTACTTATATTACTAAATTTCATAATGGCCGAATAAGCATACAATATTTTTCAAACGTTTATATAACTAATCTTATATTGAGCAATTTATAATTCCTTAAAATGCGACGGTAACCACATTTTTAAACACAGCTGTGTGCTAGAGTCATATTACCTCTTGCAAAGCTTTGACAGTCCATTTATATTTTTGGGTGATTACAAGTCTCAAAAACTCCATAGGATGGCAAGTTAAAGGCAAGATTTGAACCTACTTGACTCTTTTTCCTTGTTCATCGCCAATCCAAATATTAATGTATATAATTAATGTCCACACAAGTAGGATATTCATATTAATTTTGTGACCATCAAATGTCACTATATATTCATAATTAATAGTATTCAATTAATAAAATATGTATATTTTTTAATAAGGCCACACACTGCGGCTTCATCGTGTAGGGCATAAAAGTAACTTTTCATTTACTTTGCCGTCGGTAAAGCAACTGTGTCCCAATAAAGTTTCTTGGTTTTTGTTCTAGAGCCGGCTAAATTTCGTGAAGATAAAATATAATTTTGAAGTAACACATTGAATTATCACATTTTACATCAAATTATAAAGCTCTGACGTGACCAATCTTATTATGACCATGCACTATTAACCAGTGACCAAGCAACGAAGAAAAATGTGACAGTAACAATAGTTTCATTATTCCATAATTGATGTAAGGGAGCGTTCAAGTATTGCGTCACGCAATTTTTGGAGATTATTGACCCCCCCATGTAACGCGGCGTAACGTTTTTCTGTACCCAAGTATAGTAAAACGTTTCGTGACCACCTAGTGAGACTAGTAAGTTACCGTTATGTGGTGGAACTACTGGAAAGTCGAAAATAATATTAATAATGACGCGTAATTCAATCCCCGCCCCGCATCGTAACGTTTTACCAATGGTTTCCCCCAAATTCGTTACGTACTACTTGAACGCTCTCTTAACACGAGGCAATGTTTTTTTTTTTTCAATTTGATTCAACTTAAACGATTGGGATACAGAAGAATTCAGCCTTATGACCGCGATCAAGTCTTTGAGTTTAAATATAAAATTAAAGGAAAATGTATTTTCAGCAAAGATTTGGTAATCAAATCTTAATTATGTTGATTAATTCACAAAATACATATAATAATTGTTCTTACATCACATTGGAATTATATTATCACATTATCACCGACTAACTATAACTTCAGTGAAAACTGTACACGAAAATTTTGTGTTCTTACATGGAATTTTTATTAATTTTACATCAAATTCAAAGCACTTTATTTCCAATAAGACATAATATATCTTTTTTTCATAGATAAAAACTACGACGTAGTTTATTGAAACCAAGCGGGAGACATGCGTCCTCAAAAGTGACAAAATTTCCGTGTACTTCTATATCTAATTAACCTATCTAGTGGAGCGGAGTTTCCAACGAAGGAAGAGGAAAGCAGAAATACGAAGGAGTAAGAAAATGAGGCACAACGCTGCTATGTCGAGTGTGAAGTCTGCGTTGGTCATGTCAAGCTCTTCTAGTGTTATCTCTGGTTTCTTAAAGTGACAGTAGGCCTGAAATTGTAATAATGTATTAGAGTTTTTTTTAATCGCTTTCAGTTGAATGTATCATGTAAGGTTGTTGGTTGTGGCACTGTTGGCCTAGTTTTCTTCAGCCTACAACACCGTGGGTCGTGAGTTCGAGCCCCGACTGAGCACTTATAGTTTACTATACTACTTTATTTATTATACTTTCTTTGAGCGCATCTGTCACTTGTATGGTGATGAAAAAAAATCGTAAGCCTTCTTACATGTGTCAGACTGAAGGCTGATATTTATTGTCTATGAAATAAAAAAGATCAAATAAGCGGATGCAATCTGAGGCAAGACCCGTATAGTATTGGAGCGCCACTGGATTATTATTTTTTTAATATCATGCAAGAAACCATAGACAAGATACCATCAGACTTATAGATCTTATTATTAAAGCTATTTATTTCTCATTATCAGTTTAAAACTAGTATTTCTAAATTTTTATTAGACTACAAAATATGCTGTAAAGCACTTGATACGTTGAGTTGAAAAAATCTAATAAATAAACTTTCTTATGTTAATACAGTATTAACAAATGATAATTCATAGATAAATTATAACTTTTAAAAATCTGCCACATACCTGATGACACGCAAGATTAGTCCTATTGAAGGAATACGTTGCTAGTGCAGTTCCTTCGAAACCGTATCGAATATACGACACATAGGTGATCCATCGCAGGTATACAGGTATCGCGTTAAACGACACGAAGAAACCACTGAATAAAAGGAATGGAACCGACATCACTGGCGCAAGAAATACTCCGTTCTGAAATTAATATTTGTTTTTAACCCGGCAAATGTCAACTGTCAACTGTCAAATGTCATGTATTACAACAGTATTCGTAAGACATTAGATTCTACATATTATGAAATTTTGTAATAATGCATTTTAATTAAAAATAGATTTCTGCCGATATTGCTAATGCTGCACTTTCTTTCTTACAATTGTTTGATTTCCTGTGTGTATTCAGTTGACTTGTGATATTAAAGATTTTAATTCAAAATAAATTGTATATAGCATTATTTTCACAAATCAAACCATTATGTTTCTGTCATTGTACCACTGTAATTAGTGCTTTTCAGACACATATTTTAACTATTGTATCTGGACTGATCTTTTAGTCCAAAATTTTCGTAACAATAAAATCGAAATAAAGATAAAATACAAAATATATGGATATTTATTTTTATAAAGTTATTATTTAAAATTACCTGCACATTCATAGCGGCACCCACAACAAGTCCAACACTTTGTGCCACAAACGATATAAGGAGACACGAAGAGAGGAACATCGAAAACCGGAACCACTCTAGCGGTTGTGACGTCAGCAGGTATACAATCACCACATAGATTATACAGAATATCGCCTGTAATACAAGATATTAAAGAATTTATGGATTTATTAAGAGACAATTTTATCTAAACTTTAGCTATATACTAGCCGTTCAAAAATGTACTACTCTAAATGTATAAAACTCAGAAACGTGACGTCAGACTTAACGTTTCGTACGGCAAAAATGCAATGGATTTTGACATAGTTCGTCCAAATCTCGTTTCTAAATGTCACCCTAATGTTCAAATCGCAAAATGTAAAAGAAAATATATTTATCCGTTTAAAATTAAGCAAAAAAAAAACACAATCTATTAACCAAAAATAGGCTCTAGCTAATATATATTTTCTATATCTTTGGTTTGTAGAATGAAAATTACAATACAATAAAACTTATATAAATATATAATTTCAATTCCACAAAAACACTAAAACTCTGGATAACTTTACTTTTTCTTTATTCTCTTTGTGCAAACCTGAAGATTGTTAAAGATTTAGTTAATAAAGTAATTTTAGATTAGATTATTAAAGTAATCTCTGACATTTACCTGGAAGGGAATATCTGAAACGGTGATAGCCAAATAATAAGATCGTAGCGAGTACCATCGATTGAAGTGTTCTTTTACTAACACAGGCATCTCTAGGGGGACTGAAAAATTAAAATAATAATTTTTATAAATTTTTTTACTTCAATTTTTTTGTTCGAGGTATAACTAATATTTAATAAATAAACGTAAACCACAAGCTATATTTTTTATGTTATTATATTAGGGAGCGTTCAAGTATAACGTCACGCAATTTTTGGAGATTATTGGACCCCCCCTACCCGTGTAACGCGCCGTAACATTTTTCTGTACCCAAGTATTGTAAAACGTTTCGTGACGACCTAGTGACTGTTTATACCTAAAAGTTACCATTATGTGGTGTATTAACATTAACGCGTAATTCAATCCCCACCCCGCATCGTAACGTTTTACAAAATAACCCCCCCCCCTCCAAAATTCGTTACGTAATACTTGAACGCTCCCTTAGTATTTATAAGGTAACTTAAAAAATAATAAACTTGATAAATTTTATCGACCAAGATCGCAATAATATCATCGACAATAAATTCAATTTCTTAAACAAAAATTAATACTTACAACTCAATATAGTGATGGTCATAGAAGTGTACATGAGGAACAGCATATTGAAGAACAGGAAACCGAGATTTGAGAGCACCTTGGACCCATCGTTACCAATGTCGTAGTAGAGAGCACCGATCAAGAAGCCGACCAAAATGTGAGCGAAGAGACGCAAGTACATAAGAGTCTGAAAATATTATGAAACATCAATAAAGTTTTTTATTTATAACTTTAATATTCAAGTTTTTATTTAATGTTTTTGATAGAAATCCAAAACGCTTTAGTGCTTTTTAGCTAGCAATATTGTATATATTTCCAATACTTAGTAGACGATTCGTGAAGTGAAAGGATATAAGAAAAATAATTATACATAAGTCGACCGACGGTACGTGGAGATACAATGTTATTTATTTGCTATATGTACTAAACTTTCATATAAAGCGTATAAAACAGCTAGACTTTTCTATAAAAAATAATACGACGGAAGTAAACCAATATTGTAGGAACTCACCCAATCTCTTCTACTGAAGAGCAAAGTCCTTGTAAGCACAACCCAGAATTGTTTGGCTTCGGATGTGGCATATCTACGCGGGGATCCATCAGTGCCTAAAAGGGCCACTTCAGCATTGTCTTGCTTCTCTGTGTCCATTTGTACTACCAGTGGCTCGGCTGTAAATACATTAAAAATGTTCATTTTGGGTTCTTTGCTATATGAGCTGACGCTTGATCATGACTATTTATTTTCAAATTGAACTGGCGATAGCGGGTCATGTTTGTCATAATTTTTTTTGTCTATGGCCCCAGCATTAGTATAGTTATGTTCTGTCACATTATCTGTGGTTTATACGATTTATTATAGGATTTTTGTTTTTCAACAGTGCATTGTAGTCATTTTCTAATGAAGCTTAATTACTATAATTATGTTACATAAACTTATTTGTTATAGATAATTATCGCGTTTGATTGTTTTAAAATGCATTATCTGGATAAATTAACGGCGTTTCATATTCTCCAAGCATTAAACAGTCATGGCCGTTCACGTTCAAACTTATGAGTTATGACATTCGAAAAAAAAATTAGGTATTATTTCACAAATAAATAAATGGTTTTTCCAGATCCTATGCATAAAGGCACATGACACTAAGGTCAAAGAGTAAAACCGTTCATCGTTTTATTCATTTAACAAAAACGTATAGTTAAATATTAATATAACCTCAATCTTGGCGGTAGAAATTAGTGTCTATCTAATGGAACAAAAGTTATTTAATTATTAAAAACGGTTAATAACCCTTTCTAAAGTCTTATAGAAGACTAAGCCATGCCAGGTTTTAATACGTATGCGTAAATATGTATAGTGCTTTTCATGAAAGAAGTCCCGCGGTGATTTTTGGAACTAAATTTGACAGGTCGGCAAAGTTGTCATTAGTCGATGTTATCAAGTTCGTTTGTTGTGGTAGATTTTTGTGAATTTTTAACTAGCTTAGTGCATTTTGAAGATTGATTACAATGCCAAAAGTTGTAAAAAGTTCGGCTCGAGAAATTATATTATAGGTGAAAGAGTTCTGTGAAGCGGAACATAAGAATCAAGGTGTTTTAATACCAATAAACAATGTTCGGAAGAGAGTTGCCGCCATAACAGGTACTTTTTAGAGTTGCCATTTAATTTTTTTTTGCTGTATTGATGGGACTTTTATGATATAAATTCGTTTTTGCGACAAAATTGAACAAATACATAACGTGATGAAACTAGGTAACTGAAATTAAAACATATATTACATATTACATAAGCATTATAAACTTAGAGTTACTATTATTTTTAAATGTTCATAATTTAATTGCAGGTGTGTCAGAGAAAACTCTAACAAGAATTACAAACGAAGGTATAACAGCGGCGTGTATTTCGAAAAAAATTGTAACCCAATAATTATGCATTAAAACTCTGAATAAAAAATTGTATTGTTTTTCTTTACCCTATTTTCTCATCTTTTCCCTGTAAGTAGGTAGAACACCGCTAAAATACGTAAATAAAAATATACCTTTTACATAACAGAAATATTGTTTCATCGAAGTATGCAGAAAATAGTATTATTTGATAAATTACATCTGCTAAATGTAAATAAAATAGGTAAATTTTTTACTCATAAATGGCAACATTACGTAATGCGATTGCAGCGCCGCGTCTGGGGGACTTCTTTCATGAAAAGGACTATACCAACGGAATTCATGACAAGCACATTTTGACATTTATCGATCAATTTTAAAAACATATTCATCGCTTTGTATATATGTATAAACTCAAAAAAGGAGCGTTATTTATTATTTCTCTATAAATTACATTATGTAGTCTGTATCACCACTTTTTGTACATATAACTTTAAGCTACTGAGGCATCCAAGTCTATGGGACAAGAGGAAAAACTATTTGGCGAACGCCACAATTACGTGTTAAAAATATATATTTCAGTTCAATACATATGTACATGTGAGCGGACGTAAACAGGAAGTTATCTGTTAACTTTGAACCCTGTTATCAGGGTCGTTGTTGGTATGTACTAACACCTAAATTGTAACCAATAATTATTTGCCCGTGTTTAGAGGAACGAGGGATACTTATAAAATTTCCTCGCTTTTATACAATGGCTTATTAATTAATTAATAGAAAATTACAATAACATAAGGACATGTAGATATTATATAAATAACGTCTTTAGAAGAATAATACCAGATTACATAATGTTTAATTCACCATTATTTTAAGTTTCATAATTTACTTTTCGCGAACTTTCTAGTGCTTGCTATACAGTTGAGAAGTATGTGTTATAACGAATAATATAAACTATTATGTAATTCTCATTTCAATATCATAACAAACTAGTCATGAAAATCCAATGGTTCTGTTATTTCAAAAGCCATGTAGAGTTTAGTATCAAAAAAACAAATGACGCGAGAACATGATTGCACAATCAGGTCAACCAAGATGTTATAGACTATAACTGAGCTCTGTGTATTGAGCAACAGTTCTACGAAAATATGCCTTCTAGCAACTTAAAATTGCGGAAATAAGCGTTAAAGTAAATAATACATAGAGTCTGGCTAATGAAAGAAGATAACGAAAAAGCGCGGCAAATTCAATTTTTTTAGTATGGTATCCCTAAAAGTTTGATATATTTTGTGGATTAAACTTACTTGATACTTGATTTAATTTTATTATTTTTTACATTGATAGTAACTGTATTTCTATGAAATTAAATACTATATGTATTTAGTCTTTTGATGACTAGCATTGCATGGAAAACTAAAACTATATTTATTATAAAACACAACTTTATGTGGAATAATCAAAATCAGAATCCAAAAAATCAATAAAACAAAGTTTAGGCTATTATACCTGTTAACTATTCGAAAAAAATATATAATAGAAATAAAAATGAGTAATTGCATGAAGTATCAAGACAATAAATCATACTAACCTAAGAAATTCAATGACATTCTGTGTTGCCATCCGAAAGTTTCAAATAATTTAATTATCGTCTTTCATTAGCCAGAATAACTAGAACTAGAGCGTGTAGAATACAAACTTAACCCTTAGCTTGATCAGTCTATCAACAAGTACGTGGCTTTGATATGTGTCTTCTGAGGCAAAACAAAAAACCGGGTATCTTTAAACCGCATTAGTTAATAAAGAATTATGCTCACCTTTACTACCCTTAGAAATTTCATTAGCGGCGAACTGCAATAAACCGTTCTGCAAATTACTCGTACTGTTCGTCCCATTTGCCCCATTCGCACTATTTGGTACGTCCCCGGCGAATTTATCTCTTATTTGGGACGCATCGTTTACGTTCCATCCTATAGCGCTCTTCGCAGATACCTCCATATCTTTCTGGTTATTGTAATTCGGTTGAGTTGGGAATGGTTTGCCATTTCTGAAAAAAGATATAGTAATGAAGCTATTAATTTATACTGATACAAACTATATTTGATTGTCATTGGAAATGGATGTAATACGACGTGAAGTCGCGTATGAACGCGTCTGGACTAAAGATGCTGTTGACAAATCAGAATGGATCGGAGCGCACAATCGTTTCGTCTATTTGATATTATTATTTAAATTATCACCTTCAGGCTTAGGGAGCGTTCAAGTATTACGTAACGAGTTTGGGGGGGTCCTTTTATAAAACGTTATAGGTATGTTAGCTAAAGCTGGCGGCTTCAACACATTTACACTTTGTGCTTGTGTAGTGTCTGTGAATAAGCGCGAGACGTGATGTCAAACTGAAATACAATCATAAATACATCATGAATAGACTGTCCGTCGTGTATGAGTGGACTAAAATGTATAGCATGGCAAAAAAATCATATTTTGAAACATACAGTATGTGAAATTGCATTAGTGTGAGTACTGTGAACCCGCCAGCTTTCGATAACCGACCTATACGATGCGGGGCGGGGATTGAATTACGCGTTATTATTAATATTATTTTCGACTTTCCACTACTTTACACCACACAATGGTAACTTTTAACTATAAAGAGTCACTAGGTGGTCAAGAAACGTTTTACTATACTTGGGTACAGAAAAACGTTACGGCGCGTTACATGGGGGGGTCAGTAATCTCCAACAACTCTACATACAACGTTTTTCTTCTCCGTAAAAGCATGAATATGTAAAATTGAGCATATGGATAGAAACAATTTCTAGAATATAACTGTGTTTATTTATTTATTTATATGATAACTTATGAAACCTTAATCAAATTACTAACCTGATATCATTCTTCCCATTTTCAATAGCCCGGACAAGTTTGCTCGTGTTCTCGCCATACTCCCCACACGATACTTCTATGATGAAAGACGCCGGGTTGTGGTATGACGGACACTGCAGGTTCAAGCTGCCCAGCCATTCCACTGTTGATAACGATATGCCAATATAGAGCCAATTAGTCATATTTTTATTTATTAGTCATACTTTGTTTATATCTAATGTAATATATTTTTTATCAATAAGGGTGTAGATAAATAAAGTTGAAAGGCCGAACAAACTGCCATTTTGATACCTACCATTTTCTTACACTCATATCTTAGGATTAATCATGTGGCCCGCTTTGTACGGAATACAGACCTTAAACTCATAGCGAAAAATTTATTTTACTATTCACATAAAACATACGAGTATGTATAATTTATTTATATTATATTATTTATTTAAAACACAAAATGAAAAAAAAATATATCAGAAAATAATCAAAAAGCTAATTCAATTATCATCAAACCAATTATTTGCATGTATTGTTTTAGTAAATAATTACCATAATTGACTCATTTATTGAGTCATTAAAAAAAAATTACAAATGCAAATATGTATGTTAGTAATTTTAAAATATTTGCAATGTATAAAATATTTTATACAATGTATTATGCATATATTCAAGTGGCGCTACAACCCAATATGGGTCTTGGCCTCAGATTGCATCCGTTTCTTCGATCATTTTTATTTTATATATAGGTTAGGTGATTAGCCTTCTGTGTCTGACACATGGGTTTTTAAGTTTGAGACATGCCAGTTTTCCTTTGATGTTTGCCTTACTATAGGAGCATATGCTAATTGCGCACAGAAAGAAAATTCCATACAATGTATTAATTCACATGAAATAAAATCTTAGAAGAAAGTTTAAATCATCAGTATATTAGACAACTAATCAAATAAAGAAAGATTTCCTTATATAAACATTAGTAAAATACGCGTGTCTGTACAATTTTGTTTAAATCTTTGTCAATATCTGTATCACGATAGCTGATTTTAATAAAAATATACAATATTACAATCTACCTATTGAATTATCAAAGTAGCAAGAACCAACTGGTGGATATATATTTAAAAAATGCAAATGTTTTAATATGTGTATTTCCCTATTGACGTAGGCAAAGGTCAAGAGCTATACCTAAAGAAAATGCGGCACAGTTGTTTTCCTACTATCAAGGAGACAAATTATATTGTCACATAATTGCTACTCCAGCGAAGCAGCAAGTAAATCATTCTTAATTCTAAATTCAATAAATAAGTAATCTACAATGCACAAGTGTAGGCAATAGATAAGCTCATATTTGAAGGCTATTGACTTAACAATGAATGAATATTTAAATTTGTTGAAGCTTAGCTTAACTTAGCCAATATTATTAATAACCATTGTAGCAAAGAGTAGAAAAGAAACCTATTTATAAATTTGTGTATTATCGTAGCGTGCATATGCTAATATAAAACTCACCTAGCCTTCCAGTACTGCCTTGATAAACACACTGGCCTTCAGCGAGCGTGTACAAGTGGTCAAACATCTCAAACAAACGCGCAGATGGCTGGTGAATGGTACAAATAATGGTTCTACCACCACTCGCCAATGTCTTCAACAAGGAAATACATTGGAAGCAAGAAGAACTGTCGAGACCAGATGTTGGTTCGTCGAAGAACATAATCGGTGGGTTGTTAACCAGCTCCAACGCGATTGAAAGACGCTTTTTTTGTCCTCCAGACAGGTTCGAAGTCATGGTTTTCAGGTGATCGGCTAGACCAAGTGTTTCGAGGATCTCTTGAATCTGGAAGATTGTTTATAGAGGATAAGAAAAAAAAATTAATAAATTCTTTGTTATTTCTGTTCCATTTTTGTCCACAGGTTTTAAAGCAGACGAATCCAATATTGCGATTTATAAAAAGATATCGTAATATTATCTTAAATAAATAAGAATTTAACAGCTGAATAGAGTTTCTACCTTATAAACATTACTTTGCTCAAAAAACATAATATGTAACTGACCACTTCCTCCTTATCTTCCCTTGAAGTAGCGCTGGGCAGTTTGAGCGACGTCGCCACTTTCATAGCCTCCTCGACAGTCAGGTTACCGTGCAACTGGTTATCCTGCATAATGTAGCAGGAGAGCTTGCGGAAGCTAGACAGGTTGCGTTCCATGCCGTTTACTGTTATACTGCCTTCCATACCAGACGTTCTGCGAACAAAGGAAATGTCATTTAAATTTTATACATTTTAGATTTTTATCTTGTTAGACTAGTCTCCAGGATACATAAGTATTGTGATTTAGTAAAAAAGAATTTAATGTGTATATATTAATGTTTTTTTTTTAACAGAAATGTAATTATATGCTCTAGATTCTAATAAAAGGGTTTAATGTATTCGCGTAAATACAGAAGACTCACTTTGTTATAGAGTGTTTGTACTTTGGTCTTTGATGAATGTAGAAAACATCGTGACGAGAATTAAAAGAACCGAAAGAAAAACTAAAGCAAAGCGAATAGAAACAGCAAAATTAATTTAACAATATTTTACAAATTTATAATAATGTTGTATGAACCGCACTGCTGACCTCAAACATTGTAAAAAATAATAGCCTTGAAACAAATTATATTCTAACAAAAACAATGTCATATCTGATAAACTTAGTAATTATACAATTTAATATATATTTCCTTGAACGTTTGATAACAGGTAAGCGTACATAGGAATTGATCGCGGAAGATCGATAGAATATGCAGCACTTATTTGGTCTGTTAAATTTGTGTTCACTTCCGGGCGAAATAAGTTTAGTAACGTAATAAAAATTAAATAAAAAAGCCACTGACATAATTACTATTTCATTAATGCAAGGTAATTTTGACTAAAATATATATGGTAAGACACTATTTTGACCGGATTGAAGTTATGTATTATTATAAATTTACATATATAGTCACCGTGACCACGCACGCTGTAAAGCACGCGAAACGTCGGATAAATTTAAAATTATGTTAAATAGTTGTAAATTTATAATAATACATAACTTCAATCCGGTCAAAATAGTGTTTTATTAAATGAATAAAAGTTATGTTAATCAAAGACAATACTATATATGGTAAGATTTGTAGTATTTCAACTTAAACTTCGCTTCCGTCACGTACGTATTTTTTTTATTGAGTGACAATATTTTAATCATCGAATACTTGCAAAGATACGATTTATGAAAAAAATAATTGACTATGGTTCCCCGTCTCTCTGCAAATTCCTACTTAGCATAAAGATATTTTTTTTAAAGGTAGGTTTGTATTCGCAACGATGTTCTAAGTCAAGTTTTAAGCTTGAAAGCGTTATCACTTTGTGTTTATCGACAGGCATTTTGATACTTAAACTCATCAGCCGAAACCATCCAACAGCCATAAGCAAAATGTAATTTAAATTATTCAAAATGTACGCTTTTTATGTCTTCAGAATATTAAAGACAAACAAGGTTCAAGGTGTTCCTTGTGACTGCCGAGGTCGTTTAATGCTGCATAAAATATTTTACTTAGCAGAAATATAAATATTTCTCACTTCATTCTCATTATCATCACAGCGAATGCTTTTTTGCATTAAAATTTATTTGGCCTGAGTATAGTAAGAATACATTTATTATACGCAATATATGAAATTTACTGTATACAAGTAAAGTAAAACAGTTTTGGCTTAGCCCTCATCTAAGAATAAGCAAAAAAATTTACTGTGCCTTAGTGTATAATTAGTATCTTATAACAAAGAACATATTAATTAAAAGCATTAAAGAGTAGCTTCAGTTTGTCCTTGGTCAACGTTTTTGCTTCTACTTGTTATTAAATCGAAAAAATGGTTTCAACGGCTAAAATCTCGCTAGAAATAACGCCAGGTATAAACATGACAAAGATCATGAACACTACTACACTTGTTACACTTGATACTTGAATCAAGAAAGCACAATGATATAAGTGGCATATGACAAATATCCTAACATGACATACAAACGTTCATTGATCTACTCTAATCATTTTATCAGTAGCAAAAGCAATAATGGAGGACATTAAACCTCCGTTGAATAACATCATTCGTGTCTTCTTCAGTCTGGGATAATTTTTATATTATGAACATCGTTGACGTATGTTTGTCAAAGGAAACCAGAACACGTCATCATCTACGAATAACAATAAGTTATGTGTTTGTCATTATAGTTGAAACCACAGAGGAAATCAAACTACGTTATTTTGTAGCACAACTTATTTACCAATTCCAAATCCACGTATAAATGTTTAAAATATATACCGAACTATTTCTATTTTTTGACTAAGTAAAAGTCTAAATTATGATTCAACTTTCTTTACAATGTATCCTACAGTATGTTACTCACAAGAGTCAAGGGTACGATAAAAGGACATGACTCTCATAGCTTAATATCATTACTGAGATTGATATTTCCGCAAAAGGTATTGTACCCATGTAAGGATATACCCTTAAAATAGTTTACTTGACCTATTGAAATGCAAGATATCCATAAAGTAATGGTGCTGCTCCTTGGACCGCTCTTAAAAAGATCTTCAATTACCAACTATTTGTACTGCAATCAGTCACCCACCCTAGACCATCTAGTGAAATTCCAAAGACATCCAACACAGGCTCTTGAATAGAAAGCGATCTCGAGATATTCAGTAGCAGCTGAAGGGTGAATTATTAGCTAAACGTCTGGTTATCCCAAGATACCTCTTTTGGGGCGAACGAGGGTCGGAGTTGCCTAGGTTATACGGGATAACATAAGTAAGAAATGAAAGAGTTGGTAAAAGAGACACTGAGGGTCCGCATTAGACATTAACTTTTTGACACACTTCTAAAATAATGTCGTATGCAACAACTATAAGTGGTATTTTATCGGAATTTGTTTTATAAGTAAAGTAGACACGTAGGGTTTTCAAATATGCAGCATATTCTAAAACGTAAGTGAAACTTAAATCTATCTAAAATACTCAAAAACCTCGCTTTAAAGATAAGTTTTTTAAGAACAATATTTTAATGCGGAATTAACAGACTTATACCAAATATAATGAATTTGTAATTAAATCTACGGTGATAACAAAAAATAACCTTCAAATTTGCACATTAAGCATCGTCATATCATACATCATATAGTGTATAAATAATCCCTCTGCTTCTCAACTATTTATTTTTTAATGCATTTTAAGATTTCTCTCGATACCTGTGCTAAGGGCAATTGAACATCAGTAAAATCAGTATTATTTATTATACAGGCTCACAAAAACTTTCATCAATTTGATCAAAGACACAAAAATAATAATCAGTATGCACTTTAGCACTTAATTTCTTGAATAAATTAAAATCTTGTTTCAGTTCCGGACTTAACATACCTTGTTATAGAACGTGAATTAAAGTTTGTTTACTACTTTAAAAATATTAACTGCATTAAACATATGTTATTTATATATAAGAATTGGTAACTATGATAACAATTACTAAACTTGACGATATTTTTTTAAAAGGCCCATATCTTTTATACGTATATCTATAGTTTTTTTTTACACTTGTTTAAAGATATCTTGCAATTGGCGGTTGATATTCAGAAATCGTTAAAAGGAGGCTAGATGAACGCAGAACATCTTTTCCAAAATGCTGAAATAAGTTATAATATATATTGCTCGTTTTGTTATAATCATATATTTATAGCTTTTAAGTATTCTTATAGAGTTAGTACTAAGCCTGCTGTGTTTGCCTGTTAAAGAGTCTAATTAGTTTTAATTGTTACTTTTGTTTGTTTTTTAATATAAAATTTTATTTTTAAATAAATAAAAACATCATGAATGCATCGTATTCATAGTGGGTTTAAGATTTTACAAACATGAAATGGAAGTTAATAAATTTTCATCATTTTTCAAGTATAATACAAAATATTAATTTATTTAAATCCTCTTCCGGAACAAACACTGAGTTTTAAAAACTTATACGATGATCGGTCTTACATCCCCTCCCTTAGAAAAGCAAGCGATTGCAAAATTGTTGTATAAGCATTTCTAGAATTCGCGCTGCTTACTAAACGTGGTAGTATGAGAGACTTTAGCTAACATTATAGATTTAAAATGCCACCAGGAGAATGCTTTCACAACGATTCGATAAAAAGGTGAAAAACTAATGTAGTTCATCTTTTATTTTTAATCATTTACTGTGTTTGTTGGGTTCATAAATATTATGAAAACGCATAGAATAATTTCGCACATGTATTATCAAAACACCCCACAACATTTTACAGTTTACTCTCGTTTTATATAGACCAATTATTATTTCTGGGTTTGTTTACAAGTGACGATTCAAAGTGTAAATTGCTATACAGCTAGTCCGCTAATTACAGCATTTCAATAATTAAGGACACATTTGCAAATGCTCTGAAGAACAAATTGACCGCATGACCTACTTAATGGCCGCTAGATAACAAGAATCCGGTTTCCAAACATACGTGCATAAGTCTTTTGCAACCCTATACAAACATAACCTGAGCTTGAAGTAGAGGTATCATGGAAATGGCTTACCAGTTTCAAGTTATCGCAGTTAAACAAAATTGTCTCTCACCACTAGTACTTAAACTATACTGTAAAATATAGTAGACACATTGCCATACGTCTTTAAATAATATTACGAATTCATGAAATACGATTGCAATTTTTGCGCCTATACGCGAGTTAAAAAAGCTACAAAACACATGGACATATACTTTTCCAGTTCAATGACCTTAAGGACTGTTCTTTGTTGTCAAAAATACAATAATTTAAAAAATGCTAATAAGTAATGTTTTACATTTATTTATTTCATTTCTGTTTCCGTTTTTGTTTCCGTTCACGTCTCGTATGTCTATATTTTTTTTATTCCGTTGATACTAATCTAGACTTATATAGTTAGTAAACAGTTGCGATATACAAAAGAGAACAAAATCAGTCGCCTATTTATTGCCGTCGATTGTGGAACTAAACCTTGAAAAATCTATTGCCAAATACCTCATTACAAAAACAATTACTTTACTAGATAAATGATAATATTGATAAATTAAGCTAATAATTTAGTTGTGATTAGAAAAAATTGATAAGACAGAATATTCAAGACGTATGGATAATGTCGTCTCCAAAATTTAAAGAACTGGTTTAGAAAATAACAATAATTTAATTTAGCAAAAGACGTCACAACTAAAAAATATTAATTGTATAAATATTGTGCGCAGTGCAAATTAAAAGTATTATAAAAAGATTTATAATAATTTCCTAAGTATTGTTTCGGTCTATAGCTCAGTCTTACAGTATGTAGTAAGAGGTTAAATTCCTCTAAAATACTTTCTTCTGCCTTATGTCAAATTAAATTATAGATAAATCTAAGAAGTTACTACTACTTATCGCTCATTAGCCAAATTAACATCACACGGCAAAAGCTTGAACTATTGTAATTATATTTTTGCAATTAAAGAGAAAAACCTTAACATTAAAAGTCCATTACACTATATCTTCTGTTGAATACCAAGGTAAAACCTTACCGGAAGAGCCTTAAATAAAAATTATTCGAATACAGTAATTTCTGAGACTTATCTGCCGGATGTTTTCCAGAAACTTTTAACCATGAAAATTTAACGAATACAATTTACCATATGACACACACTCATATTGTAATTACATTAAATGTCTACGTGGTTAACGACGTTTGGTTCTTGGGGAAAAATTTATTATAAAACGTATGCTTATTAGGTATTAACGTAATCGATATAACGTAACGAATCAGTCACCCACGTAGTCCTGGAATGCGAGGCGTTGGCTAAACAACGTACAAAAATCCTCGGAACGGTGAAGTCTCTCCATGAAGCCTGTGAAGCCTGTGAAGCCCAGGAGACTTCTGTGCTTCTGGAAGGAGCTAGGCTGGCTAAACTAGCCAGGACTTAACGCACAACGGACTAATTATGAGTCTAAGGGTGAGATCTATAGTGCGCACTTAGACTTTGCTCTGACTTAACTATCGAGCTAAGACACAGTCGGTATTTATAGAGCAAACTACGAATCTCTCCCTAGTGTTGGCTTAGCTTAATCTCAAGTCCACGAAATCGACGACTTACCAAAAACTTTGACTATAAGCCTAACAAAAATAATGGCCCAAAATTTGCTTTACCATCATATCTTTTACTGGACTTTTTATTTTTGTCGGTTTTTAATGAACGGTGTTGCCATTTTGTATCGGAGTTCCATAGACTTTGGGAAAAATAGAATTTGAATTCAAAGAAATTATAAATGATCTTGATAAATACCTATGAAATGCATGAAATAAAATAATTACACATTATTATGGTATTTATTGTTGTTTATTTATATTATTTATGTAATTGTTCAAACCCCATTTTTGAGAAATCTTAAAAATAACTGGTGTGATTTTGTATGTCACCTGGCAGCCCTGGCAATTGGCATATTATAGTGACAACGAAATTCAAACTATAACCTAACCAAAACATTGCGATCCGTTCTACGTAATAAAATTATTGTCATCTTTAAATAATTAATACATTTTCTAAAGGTTACTCGTGAATTTCTAGTTATTGCAATAATAAAATAAATGAATACATAAATAACAATAAATTGAAGATATATGTGTACCGTTTTAGATTTTTAAATATTTGTTATTGTTAACTTTTTTAAAGGATAATAAACAAAGTATTGCATGAAATGAAACATCAATTTGTATTTTGACATTTTCTGTCTTAGCTTGGGCTTAGCTTAATCTCACCGTTAAAATGTCTATAAATACGAAATCATAGTTTAACCTTAGTGTACACTAAGCAAAGTTTTTCGTAAGGTAAGTCTGAGCAAAGTCCAAGTGCGCACTATAGATCTCACCCTAAGTGAGGAAAATGAGTCCACCAACCAAACCATACCATAGGTATTAACGTAGACTTACATAGAAATATGTCTTCAATGCCCAGTCAGATTACAGATATGGAAAATTTTACTAGATTATACAAGTTCGTTAGGATTAGCTTTCACTTCAATGCAAATCAACACCGTAAGTCACCCGTAACCATGATGTAAAGGTAACCGTCGGCTTATTATTTAGTACCTAGCTTCGCACGGTCGTAACGAAAGTTTTTAACACCTTGGGTTACGTTATTAAAATTTAATAAGGGAACCCTTATTTTTTATAGTTACAAATATAATAGCTATGTTTGAAATAATATTTAATTGTAAAACATAATAATTGTAGGTGAACGAATATTAACTTACAAATCTTTCCTCTTTATAATATTAGTATAGATATTGTATGTCGCTTTTAATCATTTATTTATTTATTTATTTATTAACAGCTCAATGGCCAAACTTAGACTAAAAACAATTAAGAAATGTAAGTACATCAAATCTCACATAAAAACAGAAAGATATAAAGAAAAATTAAATAAAATATTTGTTTAAAGTTGACAGTCTGCCATGTTGATTTTAAAGTAGACCCACATATCGTTACACGATATTTACCATCTCAACTATTTTCTTAAATAGCGTATATTTCAATAACTACAACTTCAATTACATAGTGTACAAAATTGCTTTCACCACTACAAAAACATTAATTCACGTCACAAGAGAAAGTGCACCAAAACCACAAGAACTTGACAACTAGAGATCTTAAGAGCAAGGTAAAGTGACTGCACACATTCGAGTGAAGTATACTTTAAATGTATATGATTTAATTGATATATTATCGAGTGGTTTTGTTTTGTATTTCGAATATAAACGGATGTTATGACATAAATATTTTTTAAAAGAACGCGAACTTATCACATTATTTTTAAGACAATTCAAATAATTTGCGTTCTATATCCCTAAAAAAAGTTTTTAAGGTTCTTTTAAATAGGGGTCAAAGGTACAATAGGCACCCGATGTTAAGTGATACCGCCCTTACTCACTCACACTGCCGGAAGGCTTGCAAGTGCGTTGCTAGAATTTTAAGAATTGGTACGTCGAATTCGCTTGGAAATTCTTCCAAATTGTGCCTTAATAAACGTTCAGTTGTTGAACGACGTTTAAAGAGTAAGAATATTTGTCTAAACATAGAGAATTTTCTGATAAGTTGCATTCACAACCATTTTACAACATCACAAATAAACAATTGTTTTCTTGACTCTTACAATGAAGTGTAAATAATTTAAATGCGTTGTATGAATGCATAGATTTCACTGTAAAGGCATATAAAGCTAGAATAATGAATGCTTGTAAAATTATGATTAAAGCCGTCAATATGCCGTGTATTGCCGGGTATTGTTGCGTGCAAACTGCATCTCCCGCTTCCGAAGTAATCTTTGACCCTTAAAGTGTAATTATCTAGAATATTATTAGTCATTGTTCTACTTACAAAACAACATTGATTATTTTTCTTAAATGTATCAATATATACAATAGAATCTAGATAATGAGACATGCCGGTTTCCTCACGATCAGCTTCACCATACGAGCGAGTGCTAGATACGGAGACACAATTAAAATTGAAAGTGATGAACAGCCGGGAATCAAACCGACGACCGATAAGAGAGTCACAACCTAAGGCCAATACTGCTTATACATATCACACTTTCTATGTACTTATTTTTTTTAAATAGTCTCAATAATAACGATATTTATTCCGTAAAATGTCATTTATAAACTAATGACACTAATTTTAATGCACATAAATTAAGCGTTTGTTGACAATAGTTACAGCTAACTTTATATTACGTTGTTATTTTTAGATTTTAAAACATTTACCACTAATGGCTAATTAAGACTTAATCATTAGAATGATAGTGCACAAACTCGAAGACTATATTTATAAAAAGTAATTTAAAAACAGCCTTTAACTTCGTGAAAGTGGAACAATTTCCTTTGTCACACAGGAATGGTGAAAGTAAGTCTTTAAAAACTTACCAAATATACAAGAAAATTATTACGTACTTACAATGTTTAGCGAGGATTTTTCCTCTTTGATGAAATTATAAATGATTGCGATAAAAAATAAAATTATTTCCTTGCTCAACCGTTATTTTAGGAAATAGTTCATTGCCAAGATTGTTATCAGACATTAACAAACGCCTTCGTGGCTTCGATAGCCAAGCGTAAGCATTATAATTTTTTATCACCAGGCCTAGCATATTAGGAAATCATTAGGTATATCCGATTCAATTCACAGTTTCCTCTGTGTGGGCGTAAAAAGTCTGCTGGAACATTATATATAATACATCATTGTGATGCATAGTCAGGAGGTAGAGTTTGTTTTATCTGTTTTTTTGTATTGATTGTATTTTTTTAACTCTCTAGTTAAGTGAAATATTTTTGATTTCCTTCAGGAACTAAGTAAATCTCTAAGTGGTTGTTTTTGTTTTTATAATATTAATTTTATTTAAGCATTAATAATAAAAAAACAGTTATGATATAATAATTTAAAGATAAGTGTTTTAAATTGAGATCAGGGGATTAAACAATGTTGTATTGAAACAGACAAACAAAAATTTAAGTATACAAAGCGAACCGCGTAATACACGAAATATGGCAACATGTAAAAAAACCAGTAGCGCTAAAATCCTTGGCAACATTCTGTGTCTATTTCTTGATAATTTTCTAACATAGTTTTCCTTCACCGTACAAGCGAGTCTTAAATTTATATTGTCAACTTACTTGTAGCCAGTAAGAATGTTGAGCAAAGTAGATTTTCCCGCGCCAGAGGGTCCCATGATTGCAGTAAGCTCACCCGACCGCAGTCTTCCTGACACCGACTTGAGGATCGTCTTGACATCTGAAAAACAATTGTTTTATTTGTAATCTTTTTTCTAATAGATAGACATCTTACTCTGCGCCTTGGAAGTCTTTCCTAGGGGCTCAAAGCGAAATCCGTCAGATCCCTAAGTTACAACCAAGACGCATTGTAATGCGCTGTAGTCAACACTACAGGCGGTACATTCAAAACCTAAGTACCACTAAGGCAGTTAAAAGATAATGTGTTTCGCCTTTTAATATCAAAATTGCAAATCACGCGACAGGATGTCCACAAATCGCTAGCTGCAACATACTGATCAAGAAACACGGTATCAATTGTGTAATATCGTATAATGTAATAAGCGTAACAAATCAAAGTGTCATTCATACTTTATGCCTCTTATTATAAATCAAATGTCTAAGTACTAACTATGCCACTAAGAAAACCACGAGGGTGAAAAATATTCTGAACTTCGTGTTGGTTTAGTCCAGTATACGTCAATATAATGACAATTTTGACAGCTCCAACGCATCAATGTTTCATACAATCTATCATTTACATGATTTTGTGTTCCCCTTAAAAAGGGCCCTTAGCGCTCACGAAGCGCTACTCAAGTTTTCCATACGAAACTCGTTGTTACAATACGTTGACAACTCGATAATTTAAATATTAATATAATTAGTAACACGTTATCTCAATTCTCACAACGCCCTCCAATGACTTGATAACATGATACACAATCGTGACAAAATAAAAATTAATTAATGGCCACGACAACATACGTATTATTCTGTTAATGAGAATTAATTGCCAAATAAAAATTGCAATAAATTAAACCTCAAAGCCAATTATTATAGATACCAACTTTTTTTACTAATCACTTTTGTTTGACCATCAAGATTTAAGTTAAATAATGGTTTGGAATGTGCCCAGTGGGAAGAAGAAAGAGAGGATGCCCACCGAAAACTTGGGAAGATGAAATAAAAGGGATAGCGGGAAAAAACTGGAAAAGTGTCGCAACAAAATTATCCCTAGATAAGTGGAAGAATCTGGAGGAGGCCTTCACTCCATCGGAGATCCAGTACTAGTGTAAAACTTAAAAGACATGGACTTACTGCAGTTATAGTGTACTCGAATAAAGGCTATTTTTTATTTTTATTTTTTATTAATGGTTTGGAATGAAAATATTCTAACTAAAACAAACACAAAAACAAAGAACACATGTTTAAAACTTAGTTGACGTTTCGAAAAAGACCTGTATATCAAGCACTTAACACCTTTCTCTAATCATAATTAAATCTCATACTATAAAACCATATTTCATGTTTATTAATGTGAATTTTGATTTTTCATATATTTACTGCACTTTTAAAAAGGATATCTAAAGGCCTTTCGCCTTACGCACTACGGGAATTATACCAATTTTTGGAACTTGTTTTTGAAATCACTGAACCATAGAAAGATTGCTGTAATTGGCCATAAGTGGGGAATAAAAACGCGATATAAATTACACACATTACTCAAGTTATAACAATGGAAACAGGACGTACCTACAATCATACCGATTACACAAATACATACATAGCATAGATTGATTCCGATATTAAAATATTATGTAAAACCTTTATACTTATCTCAAAAATTTTTGTTTTATTGTATTTATTGACACACATATGATTAAAAATATTACCACTAATTTGTGCGCCCTACATTACATAATTCTGGGGGTTTCAACTATGATAAGTTTCAATTAGCGACAATAACAATATATATATAAAAGTTTTGTTAAGCCATATAGCTATTAAGTATAATTGAAAATTTCTTGACAGATGGCTTATTAAAACTTTTTGACACGTACAAAAATATATAAACCGGTAATATGAGTTGTATTATTGGAAACCGGTATCTATGACGTCACGGCCTTGCAAGACCTTGTTTTAACTCTCAACAACCAATTTAATTATTCCATTAAACGATTTGTATCATCTACAATATAAATAGAATCATATAATGCTTTATCTTCATAACTGGACTAAATTTTATAATTCACCATTCGAATGCTTCAGTGGGGCAAGAGTGCACATGGGCTAGTCATTGGTAAGAAAAGAGGACTTTGCGCGAATTATCATCCCCGTTTGTCAAATACGTGTTTCACGTAGCCCTCATCTCCAGTATCCAGAATAATTTCAGCAGAAAACATTTTTACTCAATATACTTCAAACCTTGTAAAAATTATTATCGAAACAGTTTTAAATATTAGCTACAATATTATTTTACTTATTAATTATTGTACATAGAGATCCAATTCGAAATTGTAATACATAATATATTTATGCTCATATATAGTTTAACATATTTGCCACAGTTAATAAATAGTTATCGTTTTAAGAACGATAGCAAAGAAAACGTGAGTTGGCGGTAAAGATAAAATCGCATCAAGTGAAAAAAAATATAATAAATGGACGGAAAAATTCTTGTTATATCAATAAATTACAATACTTATATTCTTTTGTTTCATAAAGCATACAAGAACGCTGATTTAGCAAATTGAGATGGAACTGGTTGTTAACCATAACAACCAGTTCAACATAACAAACTTCAAGATCTATTTGAGTGCGGCAAACATCAAAATAAAAAAATCATAAGATTATTCATATTAAACAGAAAATGTCCGCAACTAAAAAAATAAAAACTTGTTTACATTTGAATGCAATAATTGTAACTAGTTTTAAGGATAAAGAAACAATTTGCGTATATCTGTGGCATATTCACCGATTTGCCTGGGGTCTCAATGAATTCGGCTATTGTCTATATATTTAAAAAATTATAGCTAACATAACGGCAATGACATTTTGTACTGTGTTACTTTCGAATTAGTAAAAAAAATAACTTCCCAACAGTTATTTACATCACTAATTGCAATAAAAAAAAGCAAAGAAAAGCATTTCTACACGTTTGACGGCATAACCCGGTGCTACGAATATAGTTTCTTTAACTGATTATATCCAATTGTTGTTACTCGTTATTTGTGGGCATTACCCATATTTTTCAACTGGAAATCACGTCAAAACAAAAAAAAATCAAGTCTCTTTATCTTCATCTGTTTGGGTTTAACCCTAGATTAATTACATTAAAAATGTCGTAAACGTAACATAATTTGTTTAGTGGTAAGGAAAACGCTAATGTTTGTAAAAAACCACCACAAAGCCACAGGTTACCAGAAGAGCTACTATAGAGGTAGTAGTCTCACTCCTTCAACCTTTTTATCCTATAGAAAAATACAATACAGGTTCCACTTACAAGTGACTAGTATTAATTATACAACAATCATACCTTCATTAGCTAGGTAGATGTTTTACTAAACTATTATCGTAATATTTGATAGTACAAAAATTACGGATTCGATAAGCATTTTCTGATTTTTATTGATTGATAATTACTTTTATTTCTATAGCAGTAGTATTCCGGATCTACGATAAGATGACGAAATCGTTTTATCATTGAAGGAAAATTACGAAACAATTCCTTCATAAAAATAAAAATAATATTTAATTGAACGCTATTATTGTTGAAAAAAATTTTCCTTGAAACAATGTCAAATTCATGTCTTCACAAAAAATAACTGTAAAGCAAAATCATGTATGTTTTCCTAAGGTCTTTAAAAAAAGTGCCATTGTTCTTTGACCTCGCATAAAATTAACGAGAAATCCTTTAACGATAATTATTTACTCCATTATAAATAGTAGATAAATAATATCTAGAATATTGTACTTACTGCTTTTCCTTCCTTCCTGCACATTGTATGTAAGATCCGTAAAAGCTAAGTCCACTGGGGGTCGTTTGGGCAAATGGGTGAGGGTTTTATGGTGCGTAGGGGCGATATTCACCTTGTGGCTCCTGTCAACAATGATAGGTTTACAGTCCACAGGACCAGCCAACGATTCTTTGTCCACTTTTGTCATTTTGTGCACAATGGAGTGAGTCAAACGTTCATTCGCTACGTCACAGATGATCTACGGCGCGTGAGTATCGCCGCACTCTCGCGCACACACTGTTTGAGTGAGGACTGAGGAGTGGAGGACAGCAGTGGCTGTCGTGACGTCGCGATACGCGTTGAACTTTGTGCCAATGGATGGGTTGCAAGAACGACAGATTTAAAGGAAATTACTAATTTCGACAATTTTAGAAATGTAATATGCTTTATTCTTGTAATTTATCATTATTAGTAGAGTATTACAAAGGCTATTTCTAAAATATTTTGTTTGAAAAAGTAAATTTCTAAACTAAATTTATATTTGCAATTCATATAAAAAATATAATTATAGCTTCTATTTAATGCCTTTTGATGTCACATTAAATTATTAGGACAATAATTACAGAATTTAGTAAATTTGCTAGTCATTCTACTAAGTAACATAGTATAAAAAATAAAAATGATTTGTTTGTTTGTACATGTAGTGTTTGATAACCCTATTTTCATATTTATAGTATCTATTAATTTTGCATGTTGTACAGACCGACCAGTAAGTAATGACCCAATTAAAGGAGAATGTATTAAATTAATACTAATATTGCAAAAGATTAATTAATAATTTCTTTTGTCATAACGCAATTATAAATAGACTAAAACATAGGTAGTGGCCATAGGTCTCAAAAAAGTAAATCCGAGAATTTTTCCTCTGCCTAAATTTGATCATAAGTGGCAAACAACATTAATAAAAAAGCTATGTATAAATTAGTAGGCATAATGACACATATTCATAGTCAACTTAAAATTGAATCTAAAATTTATATGGCATAATATAAGAACTTAAAATATTTTTTTTCCATAACTTCAATTGCTCAAGGAATCAACAATTAATAAGTGTGACATATACAAATATTATTATTAACATTGTATAACTTTATTATATACTTCTGGACACATCTATTGGCCCACCTTGCATTTTCAGTTTCTTTTGGTCCTACCTAAAAATTTATATTAGGTCGAGTAAAAAGTTTTATGCAGTTTTGAACCTAATACATTTTACCATCTTTTTCGATCGTATTGTTTTAAATTTGAATTTAGAATACCACACCACATGGAGATACGCCTAACAAGTCGGGTATGCGCCTTGATGAAGTCATTTTTGAATAAAAAACGTGTTTTATCAAATAAAGGTTTAATTTAATGACGCGTGTTGCCTCTATGGGCATCTACGACAGCTCTCATACGATTAGGCATAGAGTTTATCAACCGCTCAATGAAATTTTGAGGGATCATCTCCCATTCCTCTTCTACGGCAGTTTTAAATTCCTGCATCGTCTGGGCAACTGACTGACGAGCCCTAACACGTCTTTTTTAGCTCATCCCACATGTGCTCAATGGGGTTCATATCTGGGCTTCTGACTGGCCAGTGCATAACTGCGATGTTCACATCCCGAAGATATTCTCTGACGATGCCGGCCGTATGGGCTCTTGCATTATCATGCATAAAAAGGAAATTTGGGCCCACATAGTCCGCGTATGGCATCACGTGAGGTTTTCAAGAATGTACCTTTCAGCATTTAATGTTGGCAGCCGTGGTCCCGTAACAACCTCAAGTTGAGTTTTGCCGCTCGCGGATATACCGCCCCAGACAGTCCATGAGCCACCGCCATAAGCAACCCTCTCTTCAAATCAGCATTGTGCAAAACGCTCTCCCTTACGTCGGTAGACCTTCTTCCTTCCATCATTGCCATGTAACACAATTTTAGACTGATCAGAAAAGAGTACACCGTTCCAATGCTGTCCGTCCGAGTCCAATTTAAGTGTGAGCGCGCGAAATGAAGGCGCGCTATTCGGTGGGCTCGCGTTAGTTTTGGGCCATTAGCTGGCTTGTGTGGTACCATATCGCGTTCTTTTAATCTTCTCCGAACAGTTCGAGCGCTCACATTTACTCCATGGAAGTCGCGAAGTTGGTTTTGTATCTCAATGGAGGTAAGGTGACGATTTCTCAAGCTGGTTGTCACGATGAATCGATCCTGCCTTTCAGTTGTGACCCGAAATCGTGGCCTTCCTTGGCGACGAACAAAACCGCCAGTCTCTAGGTATCTCCGATAAACGTTTCGGACCGCAGATCGACTTAAATTAAGTTGATCACTCACATTTCTTTGGCTGTGTCCGGCCCGGATAAGTGCCACAGCTTGGGCGGCGACTACAGGCGAAGTATCCATAGATTATTGATAGAACCTCATCTTAATGTTAAGAATAAGTAATGTTTGTTGCAAAACCAAAGAGAAAAATCACACTTTCAAGAATTAAATCCAACTAAACCAATAAAATCAAGTTTTCTTAGTATTCGATTGTTTGATATCAATGAGCAGGCTCCAAATTGTGTTTTGTTTCTTTAAATTCTGTGTTCGAAATTCAAAAAAAAAAATATTGAATGCAATTATGAATGTACCAGGTTCAAAACTGCATAAAAACTTTTTACTCGACCTAATATAAATTTTTAGGTAGGACCATTGATGTGTCCAGGGGCCTTAGTCAAGATGCCTTAACAGTAGTGTATGTAGAAAGTCAAAAACTTAATTTGTATGGAAATGACAGTTCGTGTCGAAAAGTTTTCATACAAATTTAGTTTTTGACGTTCTACATACACTACTGTTAAGGCATCTTGACTAAGGCCCCAGAAGTGTATTATATCTAAATTAACTCACCTGCCAAAGTAAAGGGCAGATCTAGAATTCAAGTAGTGTAGGTTTTTTATTTAAGTTAAAATTAAAAATAATTGTGATGTCCTGTGCCTAAAATGGGTTTAATGACCTTCACAATTCACCCCTGGGTACACTATTGCCTTTAATAAAGCACAAGACTTTAGACAAGCATGTAACTTGTAAGCTCAATTATTATAAGTATCTATGCATGCTACAATCCTCACAAAAAAAATATACTATTTCTCAAAGCTATAGTAAACAACACAAATAAGAAGAGAATAGAATATGGGGTAATAAGTTCTTGTAAGACTGTACTACCCTCAAGTTTTTACTTAAACACAGGTTTCATTTTGACATAAAACTTTATAAGAGCAAGAGCTTTATTTAATGTATTTATACTTGAAAAAAAAAGAATGAGGATAGTATGTCTTCTGTTTAATCTTAGAATAATTATATAAAATGTGTTTAAAAGTTATAATAAATATACTATGTATATATAAGACAAAAACTGCATATCAGGTATTTTCTAAAACATAGTATGCATAAACTGTAATAAACCTTTATTATTATCTCATAATCGTCGATTAAAGTTTTGCTAAATACGTAGAGTTACTTTATAATTTTTAGAAAGGAGGTCATGCAATGTCTCTTAATACGCAAAAAGTTTATTTACTTAAATTGTTAAAGTATTTACCCTAGGTTGTTGATGATTAACTTCTTTTCCATTATTGTTTATGTAGAAAATCCCATTTATGAAATGATAACTTTTACTTAAAATATTATAATATTTAGAAGTAAACGTTTTACAAATTACAAAGAACTTTGAAGTAGATTAAGGTATATATTTTTTGTATTTTCATGTAATAACAGATTGCTAATTGTCATTTGCTACCATAGATATACGATATATTAGAGGATTCACCACAGGTAAATCGATTACTCAAGAGACTCAAACAATTTAAGTCTAGTTGTATTCCAAATTTATAACTCTAAAAAGTTAAGCCTTTTTGCAACCGCTTTGCGTTATATATTCCGCATTTTGGCATGCGGACACGTGGAAAAAGCAAACGTTTAAACTAAAGTGAGTGTGTATGCACTATGCATAGCATTATACGTAATGGTAATGACATTTTATTGAAACTTTACAATAATGGAAATCGATCATTCGTTATGTTTTGGACACGTTGACAGTTGACGTTGATGTTTGAACTTTGATGTTTTGATAATTTGTAAATCATATTTCGTTTTGATTTTAGCTCAAAATTAATTAGGTAATTAGTTATTACGTCAATTTTATAATAATAAGAAATAACCATGTGAAATCAAGCTATCGAAGTACAGAGTTCACTGTAGATAACACGTAGTCACAGCAGAAATGGAAAGCATTACAGTAAGCTCAGTTTTTTACACAAAGAACAACAGCTGTTTATTGTTGTTCTGCTTGGAATGTATTGAATGTTTCTTTGTTGCAGAACTTCTCAGTTTCACTAATCAAAGGATTTATTGATAGTTTGCGTGGTGTAACAGTCTTGTTATATTTAGATAAAGAAATTAATGAACGAGCCCTAAGTCGTTCTCCTCAACTGGAATATGACGGTGCCAAACATAAATTAAAGCAGCCTAAAATAAAACAGTAAGTATTTAATTGACTTAACGACTTACAGTTATACTCAGAAAGTACCTCTCGGTCATAGCAGAGTTATAGCTTTATAATGGAATTAAAGATGGTTACACAAACTGGCATTTTGCGAAGGCTTAAGTTTAAAGCTTTTCATAATATAGTCACACGATTTGGTACTTTACTAGTACTTTTGTTATTTATATAGTATTTGATTAATACCTGTTCAGTTAAGAAATAAATAGACCCAGCAGTATTATAAAAAAGTTGTGCCATTCAAGTTATCCTACTATGTATATATATATATAATATTTGATAAAAATTCATTAAATTTCAGAGAGTCAAAAGTACTTACAAGAGTATTACAGTCTTGTATCTTAAATGGGTTTATATTTTTACTAAGTATACTTGTGTTTGAATATGCATTACTACCAGGGGTTAAGTACTTAGTAATAGCTATATTTGGACATAATCCAGGAGTAGCATACAGTGTATGGTCATGGATTCAACCATTCTTATCTATGACATTCAGGATGATATGGGTGTTGCCACTGTTCCTTTTGAGCAAACTGGTTAACAGCCTGTGGTTTCAAGTGAGTGTTTGAATAAAGTATACTAACTTAACTTTAACCTTAACTTAGATAGAATTTTACATAACTTAATATGTCAACTCCGTTTCCACTCCATATTTTGGTGGTTATCTTTTTTCTGGAGCTACGAAACTGATCACCATAATATGACTCTCATATTATATACTTAAGAATATTAATTAGTGAAACAAAGCAAACATGACATATTCTGTCTCATTAGTTGATAAGAAGGTAATAACAAGTTAACAACATGTCTGAATTATTGATCTTTTTTATTGCAAACAGAATATGACCAGCTTTCTGTCCCTACCACTTAACCCAATTAACTTTATTAAATCATTTCAGGATATAGCAGACTCTGCATATAGACACAGACGAGGCAGGCCTCAATTCATGTCTAGTGTTAGCAAAATCATTGCTGACTCACTGTTTAGTTTATTGGTGCAAGCCTTATTCTTAGTTCAGGTATTTTTTTTTAATTTCTTTATTTTACAAAATAATATAATACAATCATAATATGTTACATTAGAAAACCGCTGTGGCTTATAATATAATATGGTTATGTATAATTTATATTTTTATACTATGCAACAGAGAAGTCCATTAACATATTTTTTGTGCTTGTATAGCCAACTTCAACCTTTTAATATTAGGAGCATTTTTGATAGATTAGAAAACAACATAGGTTTTGTTAGTTGAATTTTTTTTGTTTATGTTCCTATTTTCTTATAATAATATAATAAGAATATAAACAAAAAAAAAATACCACATACATTTAAAGAAAAAACTGTTTGACCGGATTGAAGTTATGTAGGTATTATTATAAATTTACAACTATTTAACACGGTCACGGTGACCACGCACGCTGTAAAGCACGCGAAACGTCGGATAAATTTAAAATTATGTTAAATAGTTGTAAATTTATAATAATACATAACTTCAATCCGGTCAAACAGTTTTTTCTTTAAATGTGTAAAGGTTATGTAAATCAAAGACAATACTATACCACATACATTTTGGACTCCTATAGAAGTAATTCTGTAAAATTCCCAAACCTTTACCTATTCATAAAAATACTGTAAGCAGGTACTGCAACTTTTATAATTCTTAATTTCAATTTTATTTCATTGTCTATTTGTATCATTCTATCTTTATGAATGAAAGTTTCAAGACATTTTTGATTTGACCACATTTTTTTTAATATTTACAAATTGTCTTCCAGAGTATGCTAGTCAGTATGTTACCTATAACATATGTTGGTGAACTATTATGCCTTATTCACATGTGTCTACTGTACTCGCTCTATTCCTTTGAGTACAAATGGTTCAACATGGGCTGGGAATTACACAAACGGCTGACATTTATTGAAACCAATTGGCCTTACTTTCTTGGGTTTGGTCTGCCATTGGCTGTATTGACACAGATTCCACAGTCATATATTATTAGGTATGTTTTTCTCAAACACTGATAAAAATAGCATAGTTAGATTTCAAAGTAATTAAACCATTAAATACATACATATATATATTTCACTCTTTACAATTTAAAATTTGATTTCATACTTTAAAATTTCATACGTAAAAATGTACCAAATTAAATATACTATATAATATTTATGTATTATTGAAATGTGGCCCTGACTTTGTGTGGACACAAAATAATTAATAATTAACACAATATGGGTGATTTTGCAATGATTCAGTGAACCAATAATACCATCTATTAATTTAAAACACATTTTTCTTTTTCAGTGGTTGTGTGTTTTCAATATTTTTCCCCGTTTTCATTTTAAGTGGCAATGAAGCGTCTCCGGTCACTGGAAGGTTGGTACTTACACTTTGTGTATATAATAAAAGTGCATTTTTGTTTTACCTGACTTAAACACTTATAAAGTTGCGGAACATATCTGGATCTGCGTTTTCATACTATTTTATAACGACGGGGTAAATGTACAACTTTTGCAACCCACGTCTTTTTGATTTATAATCAAGACAAGAGTTTTTTTTTTTTTTAAAGACAATTCACACCAATTGACCTAGTGACTAGGTCCTAGCATGGGACTAGGTCCTAGTCTCATGCTAAGCTGGTGAAGCTTATGTTATGGGTACTAGGCAACGGATATACATACATATTATAGATAGACATATAAATACATATTTAAGCACCCAAGACCTAAGCACAACACCAAATGCTCATCACATCGATGTTCGTCTCAGCCGGGGATCGAACCCGGGACCCATGGATTCGCAGTCAGGGGTTCTAACCACTAGACCAGTGAGTTTTAGCTATAAAAAATCAAATTATATATAATACTTTAATATTAAGTCAATTAAATTTTTGTTTTCAGTGAATATCCCCTTCGTTTATTCTCTCCCGTAGTTGCAATCTCAAATGGAATGTTCCGTTTCGTCCAACACAGCGCTGACGTCATGGACAAAACGAGATGATAGATATTGCTGTTCTAATGCTTTATAGGGCTGATTTACTATTGGCCACCACACACACCCACAAGTACACGAGTTTTAAAAACTGACTTAAATTAGTTTTTACTCTCGTATCGTAAAATTGAATTACGAAAGCAAAACAATCATAATATAACGACGATCTTTATACACAGACCAAAAAATATTACATCACTGCTCAAAGGAAACAATGTTATAATAATAATCAAGTCAAAGTTTAATATTAATGCATTTGTATTTATTGATTATCAGCTACTTAATATACAATATCTAAACAATTACATTATACACAAAAGCCTAAAACGGAATACACATTCAAACATAAATCACAATTAACCATTATAACCTACTTATATAAAATATATATCCTATAATCAATTGTAAGATACATTGATCATTATAATATATTCAATATAAAAGAGCAAACTCAATATAAAAAACAAAGCCATTATATCTAAAAAAGGATACCAGAGTATTATATATTTATTTTAAAGCATTTTTTAGTTACATTAAATATATCTATTTACTGATAATTTGTGTTATAATCTGTATACGATACATGACTGAGGTACGTAAATAGTTTGAGGAGGAATTGGAAATAATTGGGTTTGCCTAGTTTTGTGTTAGAAGGGATTGTGAAACAGTAAAAGCCACAATAAGTCAGGGCAGTCAATTAAACCGTTGCAAATAGCGTGTAAAACATCAGGTCGTATTGTTTACGTCTACATTCTAGGGATTCAATGCCAACGTACTTGCAAGAATCTAAATGGCTACTATACTTTCGGAAATCCGTAAAACTTAAAAACTTTTTTTAATGTTCTCTATTGCTTCAATGTATTTCTTGTCATGATCAAAATCTATGTTATAACAATGTTTCCTTTCAGCAACTATGGTACAATGATTTTTAAAACTTCCGTTTACCTAGAAGTATGTCTTCTCTTTCGTAATTCGATACGAGATAAACTACTATTTCACATGTATATGTTTAAACCATGATTGTGTATTGTTGATTTCCGTTTACCTCATTATTAACCGTAAAGAAAAGTTTTTCGTCATTTTATCATACTTTTCAAACTATGTTATTACGGGAACTGTATTTTTCCAAATGCCGTTTACATATAACACACCCCGTTGATCGTTAAAATCGATCGATAAAATAGGCCCTATAAAATATGTTCACCAAAATACAGGTCAAAGAACACAAAAGCACTAAAAAAGGTTTTAAAAATGTATGAATATTATTCGTAGTTTTCGTTTAGAAATCATAGATATTTCCTTGATTGATGGTGCAACTTAAGACTTTTTATTCAAATGTATATATTGAATATACATTAATTTGTCGCAAGTACCTACAAAATTATGAAATGTGATTAACGTCAAATTTTATTTTTGCTTTGTGCATATAATTAAATTATATCTTAAAATTTATATATAATATATTTTTACAAAATAATTGAATAAATTATTAAAAATAAAAAAGATTGCACACTGATTTTCTTAAGCATTTGTTTCAAATATTTTTAGACATCTTCGCATATAAATGTTACAGCAATAAATTTGATGCCTTAAAATATTAGAATATTGTAGTATATTTTAAGATTACTTTGGAAGCAACCCTTGTTCAAGAAATATTAACACAATTAATTAATATTTATACAAACTTTTAATTTATGTATATAAATTGTCTGATTCAATGGGTTTATTGGCCAAGTTTTACTTATATTTGCGTGTTCTGTATTGGTATATTACATGTGGTTAAAATTGGTGCGTAAATTGTATATTTATAAGTCATTGTGTATTGTAATTATATTTACATGACATTTTATTAAAGGCTGACTTATTAGGTGTTATTTATTCAAATCCTTATGTTACTCGCGCAGTACATTTCCTTGTTTGGCGTCGCAACCAAAACAAACACGAGACCAATCAATACAAATAATAAAAATCGTTATTTTAAACTTGTTAATTTTTAAAGGGAGTTTTTATGAAACAATAAAAATCAAACTATTTGAATGATTTATTTGCATACATCATATAAAAGTTTTCGACCAAACATTTTGATATAAACAAATAAATGAGTGCTTACAACTATATTTACTACATATTAAGCTTAAGGTACATTTGGTGACTTATATATATTATTTTTATCACAAATAATAAAAACCAGAGACAGTTGTACTGTATTTATTAGTAAAAAGCTAATACATGTTACCCTGCTACAACTAAGCTTAACAAGGCTACTTCACTTACAATAAAGATAAATATGTTCGTTATAATTTGATTAGGAAAACGAATAGAAAATTGATAATTAATTTTAAATGAGATCTTACAATTTTTTATAAATATTCACCGAACTCAATTCCATTTTTTAGTGTCTTGTTGATAACAAAGGCGTCTAAGTCATCTTACATCACCAAACACTTCATAACAATTACGTCTAAATTAATTAAATTATGCTTCGTATAATTTTGTTTTAGCTATAGTCTATTGTATATATTAGAATACACAAAATATAGTATATCAGAGTGAATTATTATTATATATTATTGAACATTTGTATTTAAAGTAAATAATCGCATTAAAAACCTACATTTGTATATCACATGATATGGTTTATATATATTTTTAAATATTGAAGCTATCACAAATATGAAATGACCATTGATTACCTAAAAGCCTAAACTAAACTTCTATAAATTTTTTTAACTAGTCTGGTCACTTGACAACATTGATTTACTTGACTATTTGCGGTCGTATATCTAGATTTTTTATCTAAATAATGTAAATCACTTGTTTGGTAACTAAATGTGCGGTTCGAGTTATACATATTCAGCTATGAGTTATACACACAACACATGGTAAATGGTTTTGATTTTATTCATACTAAGTGCAACATTTGTTTAAAATAGTAATATTATATAGGAAAGCTTAAAACGAACAGCTGTACCACAATCACAAAGATATAGTTAACATTAATAATATATTTTTAAACCGTAAATGACCATATCAGATTTTACCATAATGATATTTGAGTGCCTGTGTTGGGAATATAATATGTTAAGATAATTAATAATGATATTAAAAACAACTTGTGGCAATATGAGTAGCAACTAGCAACATTATATGTTTCGTGTATTATTATTTTATTAACTAGTATAAATATTATCATCGACTTACTCGCATTTGTTTCCTTTAGTTGTGTATATATTAATAATATATTTTTGGAATGTTAATAATACAGTTGTGTCTCTCACCGTTATTACTTTTAAATTTGTAGTTGGTAATTAGAATATAATGATAACGATAATTAACATATTTGTTTTAAAACCTTAAAATTTAAATTTACATAACGTGTTCTATTTGTATGTAGTAACTAAATTTTAATCATCTCACAATTTCTGCATAAAAGACAAACGAAAAAACACTAAGAAACGGTTTTTCAAATCCATAAAAATGAGAATAAACCTAAAAAAAATACACAAAATCATACTGGATTAAATAACTACTATATATTAGGTCCTTACATATGAAATTGGCGTATTTCGTACTGGCCACTTTAATCACGATGTTCTCCTCTTTGGTAAGGAATTCCAAATTCAAATTTGTACAGCTATTTACTCATGTATTTGTGCTTCGATGACCGTCATTCATTTGTTTTTTTCTGTTTGCGTCACTCATTTTACAAAATGGAAAAGTTAAAGTATCGCATTATTTACGAGTACGAGTTCCGCCGTGGCACTAGTGCTGCGGAAACGACTCGAAGGGTGAATGATGTGTATGGCGGTCATGTTGCAAAAGAAAACACAGTTCGTTTTTGGTTCCAACGTTTTCGTTCTGGAAATTTCGACCTGCAGAACAAGCCCCGTGGACGGCCTGAGACCCAAGTTGATAATGAAGTATTGAAGGCTATTGAAAAGCGGATCAATCGCAAACCACGTCCGAGTTAGCTGCAGGCTGCGGTGTTAGTGATAAAACTGTTTTAATTCACTTGAAGCAAATTGGGAAGATTAAAAAGCTTGAAAGATGGGTACCTCACGAATTGACTGAAGCAAACCGGCAAACGCGCGTCGACTGCTGCGTTACATTACTGAACCGGCACAATAATGCAGGTATTTTAAACCTTCATTACCTGTGATGAAAAATGGATTCTTTACGATAATCGAAAGCGCTCAGCGCAATGGTTGGATCCTGGCCAGCCAGCCAATTCCTGCCCCAAGCGAAAATTAACCCCAAAAAAGTTACTTGTAAGCGTTTGGTGGACTAGTGCCGGTATTGTTCATTGCAGTTTTCTCAAATCTGGCCAGACTATTACGGCTGATGTCTATTGTCATCAATTGCAAACCATGATAGCGGCTAAACAACCTAGGCTGGTCAATCGCTCCACGCCACTGCTACTTCACGACAACGCTAGACCACACACTGCACAACAGACGGCTACCAAATTAGAAGAGCTTCAATTGGAATGTCTAAGACATCCTCCGTACTCCCCGGACCTTGCTCCAACAGATTACCATTTTTTTCGAAATTTGGACAACTTCTTGCAAGGGAAAAAATTTAACTCTGATGGGGCAGTCCAAATCGCCTTCACAGATTTTATTGATTCCCGTCCGACTGGTTTTTTTAGTAAAGGGATCAATGAACTACCTATGAGATGGCAAAAGTGCATAGAAAACAATGGTTCATACTTTGATTAATTAAATATATTATATTTAAAAATATTCGACTTTTTGTTCCTCCCATACAAAACGCCAATTTCATATATAAGGACCTAATATATATATATATATATATATATATATATATACTAAAACTTTCTGTTTGAATCACAGCATAAACAGAACGACAATTAACACATTTTAAGTTTAAAATTATACAACGAAATTGATGTACGTGTTTTAATCTAGTCTTATTTAAAATGTGCCTCACAGTACTCGAACTAGTAACATTCCAATAGCTGCTCCCGCGGTGAGACCAACGCTCAACATTGTAACAATTATTGACGAAGCCTTTTCTCTTTCATGCATATCTACGACTCTGCAAATAAAATATTAGATCAAAAGTGAATCAGATCTAGATTTCATGGATTGCTTCAACAAATATTACTTTATTTATTAGCTATCGAAGGATTAACCAGAAAATATATTGTTTCGAAATTCAGTCGTAAATATTTATCGTTTTATCTTCTCCAAAACGGTTCGAAAACACTATACAAATAAGGACATAAATTAATCATAAAGATAAATAATATTTATGCAGATTAATTAGAGTAATTGACTCTGATAACCTTTTCCTTCACATCAGCAAGCAATAGATTATATTAGAAAACAAAGTCTTTGGCAGATGATTATTTGTACAGACTAACGCACCCACAGATAAATCCTAAGTGTCATCCGTATATCAAATGTTTTGACATACGAAACTTCATCTTACTCCAAACGTTTTTTTTTTATATAATAGGAGGGCGGGACGTCCAAAAAGGGTAGTCATCGCAGCCCATAGACACCCATTTTAGTGGGTGCTTTGCCGGCCTTTGAGGGAGGAGAATACTCGTTTTTTGAACATTTGGAGGTCGTATCTCTGAAGGAAGGCCCCCCACCGGGGGTCGATTCCACAGTTCGCTAGTTCGCAAAACTAAAAAAACGATGCAAGGAATCAAATTAATTTTCTGGTACACAACGCTTTTTCACAAAAACCTACAGAGCATTGTAGGAACTGGGAACGTTTTATAATGCCATAATAATTTAAAATAACTTTAATCAGATCTATTTATAACATATAACCAAATTTTTAGAGTAGAAGAAGAAGCCGAGACTTAGAGCTAAAAGTATAACTTCCGTATAATATACGAATTACATGGTCTTATAACCTTTTTAAAATTTATATTAACTTTCTCTAAAGTATAAAAGATGTTAATCGCAAGATTTTCAACATAATAATGACATATGATCTGTAATTACTGCGTGATGTTTGAATATTGTTGTATTCAAGCATCATTTTCAGTTCTATCGCGAATGCAATTAATGGTTTTTAATCGGAAATTTAATTGAAAAGCAAAAATTTTCAAACACTTTTTGGACACGAGAAAATATAGAGAATCATGAAAACATAACCCTTATATATAAATGCTCGTAAAATTCCTTTAATCCTATATTGATAATAAAATATTTAATTAATAATGAATTATTATTATCTTTGCATACGGACGGCGTGACTGTGTTTATACTTCATAAAGAATGTTATACCTATTGAAAGTCTTTGTATTTCATTTTTCATTACAATCTATCGCGTGGTAGACGAATCAAAAATTACACGGAATTAATAGTAACATTTAGTTTTTGTCTTGTTTAGTAATATAAATAAATGAAAACTATATCCTCACCTCGTAGCATTAACCATGACGATATTGGTCAAATATCCATTCGTAAAAGAGAAGACAATCATGATCATGATGTACTCGTAGTCCCACAGGAAGATCACAGGCAAGTGCTTCCGTGGCTGAGCGTTACAGAACATCAGCATAGGTACTCCGATAACACGGAATATACTAGCTGCAGCGATGACCCATTGGTTTGTGGGCTGAAAAATACGAAGATGGAACTTAGCTATACATAGTAAGCAGTGATGCCCTGGTAACTTCAGCGTGCGACTTACATCCCGGGCTGTGCACCAATGGACTATATATGTGTTAAATATATAGGCATAGAAGGCTGATCACCAACTTGCTTATTAGAAAACAAATGATCACGAAACATATACAGAAATATGTGGCCCAGTCCTAAAAGATCATAGCGTCATTAGTCTTTTATATCACCGTAGGACATTCGTCTTTGTGCATTGTAAAATATGCCTTAATAATTAAGACTTCATTAAAATAGTAGTTTATGCAACTGTCATATAATAGAGGGTATTAAAAAAAGGTTACACGAGTGTTTTAATAGGTACCTAATTATATGCACTTGCATACGCTACTTTATTTAATCTCATGGATACAGGCTACCAAGTCATAAAGTCTTGGTAACATTTGTCGTACGCTTTTCTTAATTTTTCTGGTAAAACTATTCGTCAGTTTCGTAGCTGTTTCTAGAATGTCAGGTGGAGTTAAATATTCATCGGTATCGTCGGTGTTGCTTGACATTTTGCTACTAAAGTTTTATCCAACAAAATATTACTCAAATTCGTATGTACGAAATAGCGCCAAAATGGAAAAAGTCTGTTATTGGTCTACTGGCTCGGAAACAGCGCGTTGCGCGCGCAGCGCGCTCACCACAGATTATGTGTACTTAAATTGAATTGAAACCTCCTTGGGCGGGACACATTGTACTTTAATAATTAAAAAAATATTTTAAAGCACTGTTTTGTTAGGAGAATAATACTTTAATTAAATTTTTTCATTTTCTTAAAGAAGTATGTAAATAAAATATGCCAATAAAGGTCTGTATTTCATTTCATAATTAGAATATTACCGAATGAGATTATATAAAGAATAAAAGAGATTCAGAATAAAGCAAACATTATCATCGTTGGTACTAATCAGTATCGTATAATAAACATATGTATAAATACTCTTAGACCCGTATCTAGAACGTCAATCAAACTTAAATCTAGTTTGAAGAGCTCAAACTTTTTTTTCAGTATAATGTTTTACATAATTAACAGCGCTCAAGACGAGATTGTGAGTTGAGATACTATTATGGACCATTATTTTGCGCGTAATTTAATTCTTTGACAATATCATGGTAAAACTATACATTAAATTTTGATTCAAAATTTCAATGAACATAATTAAATAACAATCCTCATTAATTCGTTTTGCGAAAAAACGTGACAAAACCTTAACTACATAGTGAGTTGAATCTATTTGATTAAAATATTGACAGTTTCTAGCCAGTTCTTCTCGCCCCCTCTATGGTACTTTGGGAACTGGTAATAAATGTAAATTAAGATCGTTTTTTTAAATATTGACGTTAATAAGTGTACATAGTTATCAATATGATTAAATAAATTTTGATTAGAATAAGACTTTATACGGTATTGCTCAGTTCGAGTTATTACAACATTCAACTGTTTCAATGCCGGCTAAAACAAATGATACACGCAATAATTACAAAACATTTTATTTCCTGCCAGTTATCTTTTTTAGATTAAAGAAGAATGGACTACCAGCAGTGAATTTCTATTATAAAAAGTAATGTCGTAACTCGTATGTAGCAGAGTAAGGATTAGTTATTTGACTCCAATAATTTTTCTCAACCGAAATAACTTCCCTATCGTAAATAGGTATTCAGTAGCAAATATTTTTTGATCAGTACTGATATTATTTTTCGAACTGTTTCTGTTTTACAGAACAACCGAAGTATAGTGCTTATTTAAACCTTAAAACACGTCTCACCTTGCGCAGCAAATAATTAAGTCAATAAATTGGCAATTGAAAAATATAATAGAATTCATACAAAAACCTTGATTAATTCCTCCGTTGAACAACACGACTGGCTCGTAATTTTCTGATAATATGACCCTATTTACATGATAATTATTTTAAATGAATGATGACTCACCCCAAGAATAAATCCAGCGACCAGTCGTCCCGCGTAGTCACCGCAGTTAAATATAAGGTAATTCACGACGGGCACAAAGAATATATCTGTAATATTTATTTTAATAAATATTTGTCGGTCCCTTGACCAATGTTCAGTCTGGTTAGACCGGCGGCAACTTCAATGGCACAAAGGGCTAGAATACATACCTAATAAAAATGGAGCAACGTAAGAAATATAGACAGAACTTAACTGTACATTCTCAAATCTTTGCTAAAACACTCAACTACTGGAACTATCTTAAATATTTTAAATATACGAAGTCTTAGAGGAAAGTGATTTAAATATAATTATCGTATTAGGCTTGCCATAAAAAATTCTACATAAATATGTAAAAGGCAGCAGCTGATATTAATAATAATCATTAAAACCAGATGGCTTGCAGGTGCCGACCTTTTAATACTTATTACATATAGATTAGATATGATTTACTTAGGACGATATAAGTATAATCATACACGGCAGAAGACGGCATATTATTTTTATAGAACAGCGGACAAGTGGGTCCGGTAACTCACCTGTATATCAAGTGATACCGCCGCCCATGGATATCCTAAATGTCAGAGGGCTAGCAAGTGCATTGCCGGCCTTCAAAGAATTGTTACGCTCTTATTATGATGGAAGTTTTACAGCTATTAAGTATTTATTTAATGTCAAAATTATAAATACGAGTAAATTTTGATAACCATTGCCAGTTATAATATAACAGCCTGGTGATGTAGTTCTTATATACCGTTATAGACCGCCAAGAAATAGTAAATATTTCCAGCTTACGCATTATAAGTACCCGGCATACCGATGTTAAAAAATCTGCTTTGACCAAATTCAGCGTCATTTATACCTCAGCTGGTGGAGGCTTGAAACAATAGAAAATGTTACTTACTATTCCAATCGGTCCCTGATGTAGCCGGATGTGACTCAACCAGTACAGTAACAGCAGGGTAGACACACATCGAAATCGCATACACCGCGAAAATACTAAAAGCGTACACCCAAACTTTCTTCAAGACAATCGTTAGATACGCCTCCCGGCTCCTATTAACAACCATACCATTGCCCCTCAATACGTGATGCGAAAAGAAGTCGATTTTGTATAGGAACGCATACGAAATAAGGGAGGTTATGACCATAAAGTCGGCGATGCAAAAGTAAATTAGTGCGCTGTGTAAGGGTGATATTTTAAAGGCAAGCGATATAATCTGCGCAACGGCAGCTATTATCCCACCCAATGATTGCCCACTGATCACAGCTGCCATGTACTCGCGGGAGAATTTGCTTGCAGTCCCCATTAGGCCCGAGATGAAAATCGCACTGGCAGCTGAAAAGATACAGATATTTTGATACGGGATCGTTAATATCGTTCTAGATAAGTGACATTCTTCACATTTACTTGTAATAGCAATAGCTTAAAGCAAACAGTTTTTCGGTTTTTTTCCATAACAATTGTTTTGGTTTATCAAGTTTTGATGTTTATTTAAAGCAAATGTATTCGACAATTAAAACATACAAATCAAATTGAGTTTTATAATTAACGCAAATACAATTCTAAGTTCAAGGTCCTTTGCAATAAATTTAAATTAAATTAACCCAAAATCTGCATACCTGTATGCAGGTCAACATTTCCAATGGGTTCGGCCCCGATCAAATCTAAATTGATCAGCAAAAATATGCTAAGATACTTCACCTCAAATATAGAAGTTTACACATACGTTCACTAAACGTTAACGATTACTTACGGCATTTAGTAAAGATTTAGACATAATTATTTTCTCTGAGTACGCTTTTTAGACTAACATTTACGTATGGCAATAAATAATCTTGATACTGTTTAATTTAAAAAATACTAGTATTCAATATTCCAAACAATTTTTACTCTTTAGTTTGTGAGTCACTGGCAACGTTTGACTCACAAACAAGTTTCACAATAATTATAAACACCTCATCTACATAAACAGCTCGTGAAATAATTATAAGGATAAGATTATATCTCTATTTGTGTCATACATAATATCCCTGCAATCACCAGTAATAGGTGTACCTACTGCGTTTAATGTAAAAGGAACCATTAAGGCGATGTATTTTTTTGTCATATATATACCTCTGTATTAACCTGATAACCGATAACAAACGATGAAGTTGGACTGTCTAGATATAGACTAAGAATTCTTATTCTAAGCCCTACAAACAAAGTCCGGGGAAACGCATATAAATCAATCAAAAGTTAACATAAGTGATAAGTCTAATTGGATTATTACAAAGAATTATCATGTTATAGAATAATGCAGTGTTTGCCTAGTAGCTTGAGCATGTAACTCTCAACTCTGAATGTCCTGGACCCTGTCGTGCCGATCACGACTAATGATACTAATAATCTACCAATAGACTTGAGATGTGCTCATTTACTAACACTCGCTTGTATGGCGAAGGAAAACATAGTGAAGCAGCAGTGAATTATCAAGAACAGATTCAGGAATCTGAGGCAAGGATCAAGGGTTGTAGCGCAACTGTTTTTTTGAGCTTTAAAATGCACAAAAAATGAAAGTAATGTTGGGCTTGCTTTGAGGTAAACCCCCGATGCAGTGGCGTAACTATACCATCTGGGGCCCGTGGCAAATTCTTTTAATGAGACCCTATCAGTAAAAATCCTCACGTTGTACTCAGTTTAACTTTAATAAACTTCAAGATTTTCAGCGTACTCAATTACACGTTGTATATGTCCCACTAAAGGCCATAGGCCTCCTCTCTTAGGCGAGAGGGAATGGTCTGTAGTCCCCACGCTAGCCCAATGCGTATTTGAAAATTACTACTGAAAGTCAGTAATTTTCTAATCGCTTTTAGTTCGAGTGTACTTAAGTTATATAATAACTTATGGGTCGCATCAAGCTTGATAACATGTTATCAGTACAAAGTTTGAGATCTAATGTTTGATCTTTGTGTCAAAGGTTAATATATACTATAGGAATAGACATAATATTCCAATTGCTAAGTTGGTCTAAAATATTATTGAATCTTAAAGTTTTGTTTATATTTACATATATGATTTTAATTTTAAACTCACTAAAATAACGTGTAAAGAACCTGTATTATGGAAAATATATTTTAAACCCACGCATAACCCAACGGAAGGTCGTAAATTAAAATTATTAAATATATAAGATCTCCGAAAAGATAAAAAATACTTGAAAATAATCTTTTAAGAATTTGTACGTTCTCATATTTCAAATGCGGTTTAGGGTTTGTTGTTGTTTTCAAATTTGTATTCTCGTAATTACTTTAACTTTACTCTTTTGAATTGAATTCTACGTTTACCATTAAAAATAATTTGGCTTATAAGATAAAAATACTTATACAGAAAGGGATGGACTTGTCTGCTAAGAAAACAAAGGAGTATATCAGCCCCAAGCGTGACAAAGACCAGTATGACTTTACGATACAAGCCTCATCACGCACAAATGATTTTATCTCGAACATAAAATAAAATATGTTGGGCTACATTATCCACTAAAGATCATTTAAATATATGAAACTATTAAAAGGTTTTTTATGCATAATTCAACTGTTTTCGCGTGAGTGCTAGATATCGTCATTTATTGAATTATTTATAACAATTTAAATAATTATTTGAATTAAAAAAAATTACCAGTCATAATAACCACTGTTATCATTGTAACAATGAAAAATGTATTCTGCCATTCATCTGTGTCCACAAGCACCAGCGATGTGGTAACAATAAATGATAAAGTCACTACAATTAGTGACCCTAGGAGTCTACTTCTTACAGATACTCTGAAATACAATCCAATTAACATTAATCTTTTTCATATGCAGTACAAAGCAACAGTTTTATCTTTTATTATGCCGTCATTGGAGGCATTTGATTTATTTAATGCATTCAAACTCAACCTTATGGATTAACTACCAGTCAAACTGGTTTTATGGAATGAAAGCTAATTACCAGGTTAAGCCAGGTTCTCTCTTGCCTATTAATATAAAGTTAAACAATTATTGAATAACAAAGAGAATCGTTCCAGTACTTACAAATGTCCATATAGGGAATTAAGTATTAGAAATACCAAGTTTGGTATTGCTGTAGCAACATTGAGATAGGATGTAAATTCAGCTTGAAACTGTGTTTTTCTTACATACATTGTCAAATTGTTAGGCTCTACATCTCTGAATTTATACATCCAATACTGAAACAAAAATGGTAATACTTTTTAATGTATCCAAATTCATTTATACAATTACAAATACACCGCAAAACATCTTTAAACAAACCAACGTAATGAAATCAAATCTTTTGGGTAACCAGTAAGGTGGCGATCTAAAGCGACAGTTAATTTCTGTTTGCTATATGCAAAAATTAGATTTTAATGTTTAATTTGAACAATTTTATTGCCACAATGAATGATGGAATAAATATCATGTATTACAATTAAAGTCAATTAATATAAGAAATCATTATGAATCTTAATGTTTGACAATGATCAATCTGTGGTTAGAGCATGGTTTTCAAATTGAAATATGAAAGCAATTTTTATAATTAATGTCAATATACAGACTAATGTTATTGTTTAAAATGTGGTTACATAGTAACAAGATCAAATATCATAGTTAGAAGCCTTAGTTTATTGTTAAGCGTGCAATGTTAAGGTCACAACAACAATAAATAGGTCAAGTTTGCCCAAGTAAGAAAGTTATAATGTATGTATGGTGCTTTTGTTTATTTTGGTAAAATTGTTAGCCTGTACAAATTTAGACTCAATGAAAATATACATATCTATTTATAATTGGAATTTGTAGATATCTAAATTTTTTTAGAATTGTAATTGTATATACATTTACAAAATGTTCAGAAATTATACTAACTAGAAATAATACAACAGTGAAAATATACCTAATTACTTGCTTAGACTTAGTGATTAAAAACGATTAGTTACACAATTATGTAAATACATCGCGTTAATAGAAAACAAAAGTAGGTGAACATTTTCTGTTTTTATAAGAACATGAAAGAACTTACGTCATTAGCAGTTATCAAGAAGTTCCATGGAACAAGGGAAGTTATACCAAATAAATAGAATAGAAAATAAACAAGGCGATATCTGTCCAAGGGCTCGGACTCGCTGTCCAAAATCTTTGTTGAACATGAATCACTAACTAATTCTCTTTCTTCGGAGAAATCAATGTCATCCTCGTTTTCAACAGTTTCTATTCCGTCCTCATTGTTAATTACTTCTGCGCTATCCATTTTCGCTGTTATTTTGTTATACAATTTTTAATTAAAAACCCCTTACGATAACTACAACATTTTCTAATTTATCGATAAAGAATATAAGCTATAAAAGTAAGATATTTTATTAGGTGGTCGCACTATTAGTAAGTTATTGAATTTATTTATTATGTAAAGAAATGTATGTTATTGATTTAGAAAATCGACAAAACACATCACCACAACACAAATGATAACCACAGACTAAATAGTAAATACGCCAAAATAAATATCGAATAGCGCTTAAATACTAAACAATCAGCATTCGACAAGATAACAACAAGAACTACACAGTACACTTAACAGCAGTGCTACTCAGTACTCATGAGTTATAACTAATTATTAGTGACAGTAAAATGTGAATCCGTCTAGTCAAGGATATTATTGTCAAATGGATTCATAGAGTATTAGATGAATTAAACTGCGGTGTGCGGTGCAATATGCATGGTAATTGTAACTTTATATTTTTATCTTCAATTAATTAGCTTCTTTATAACATAGAAAAGAATATATATTATCTTGAAAATATTCAAATTACTTTTCTACTACTAATTTAAAACATTGAATACATTTGGGCCTTCAAACGCCGACATGTTGCGCGGGTTTTTGCACCCGACCTATTGTTTACTCTAGAGTCTAGACTGATCAGTTATTTTATTCATATTTTTAATTTTAAATGCTATGCTATGATAATCGAAAAAGCTAAGAAAACTCCTTACGAGTACCTACTGTATCGTACTGAAGTGTTACCTATTAGAAGTACACCCAATAGTGATATTTTCTAATTCCTAGAGATGCGCAATACGAATATAGCTACAAATATCGAAATTGCACACAATGAACTATCTACTAATGAAGTCGGTGGCGTTAAATTAAAGTTATTGACAGTCACAGAGTGCCGACGCCATCGGCCATTTGTTAATATAATTATTGGATTATCTTAACTTATATTTAATATTTCCTATGCTAAATAATTTTTGTATCGGTATTATAATACACCACGCATTCACGATAAGGCATAAATGCAACCGTTGTTTTCTTTTTTTCTGAACGTCAGCAAATGTTGCTCTACGGCAAAAATGAGATACTATTCGTTAAAACCGGAAAAGTTTTATAATTGTATTCACATTTATGATAAATATGTGCTTTAATTAGGCATAAGTTTATAATACATACATAAAACAATATGTAAATAATATAAGGAATTTTTGCATTTCTGGTTTTATGTCAGCTCTTCTCTTTTCGGAAGGCTGCGCCTAAGATAGTAGATTTTTAATTCAGTGATTCCTTGTTACCCCTTAAGTTAAAGCCCCCAAAAACCACAAAAATAAGCTGTAATTTCCCTTAATATAATAAATTGTAGTACACAGTGGTTATGACTAATGGTTTTAATATACAAATAACTTTACGAATATTTTGTTTCCTTATTGTATTTGTTTTAAATTATAAATTACATTTACAGTACAGCTTTCGTCGTGGTCGTTCAGCTGGTGACCTTCTTGTATACCTTACACATAGATGGGCAGAGGCAACTGAGACCAAAGGGGAAACGCTAGCGGTTAGTTTAGATATAGCGAAAGCCTTCGATCGGGTGTGGCATAAAGCGCTTCTCAAGAAGCTCTCCAGCTTTCTGGCCGATCGGAACATCAAGGTCGTCATGGACGGAGCATGTTTCCACCGTAAACCCGTGAACGCTGGGGTCCCACAAGGCTGTGTCCTATCCCCGACCCTGATTCTTCTGCATATCATTGCTATGCGAACGACAGCACTGGGGATACTCTTTACACTGGCCGGGCAGGTATTTCTCGGGCAGTTGTTCTCCGCCACCGAACTAATCTAGAGATTTGTAAATAAAAAACAACTGAAAACTGTAATATTTATCTTTTAATTATTAAAATATTTTTTATGCTTACCATAATTTGATTTATCAAAATTTCTAACATAAACTTTGTACACACAATAGCCACAGTATTGTATTGTTTTGAAATTTTCAAAAAGAACAAAGAACTAGGTATATAATCTTAATATACAGGTAAAAAAGACGTAAGATATTTAATATAGTATAGTAAATACATGATTACGATAATTACTTTCGTATAAAATAAAAACTAAGACCTAAGGACGGACACGATTACAAACTTAAAGCAATAAGCTATATTTACAAAGGTTATTTAGTAGGTACTATTAGCCAAATTAACGCCTTATCACTTTATAACCATTGTCGGTATAACAAAGTACCGAATTCCCATAACTAACTTAAGAAACTCAAATCTGCGTCAATCACTTTTTTTAGTGACCTACGGCAATTGTGCTTTGGTCGCATTACGTAAGGAATGGTACGACTAATTATCTTTTCTTATACGATGTAAGGCATATTTAGTTTCAAAAGCATGCTAGCTTTCTGGCCGTTAGTACATTACACACAATTTTAAAATATTAATTCCCTCTAATACAAGGCACTAGGAAGCACGATTACCTATAAATTAAGGTATAAAAGTTTATACCTAGATCATTTTATTCAAATATGTTTTTAAATGAATACAGGTAATAATATCACAACTTATAAAACCCTAAGGGCCTAAGAGATCGTGCGCTTAATCCATATTAACAAGCAAAATATAAGGAAAGTGGTTTGTATATGAAAGATTTAAGTAAAAATACTAAAAAATAGATCAGATAAATGCATATAGAAGGCGACATCAGTCTTATTTGACCTTAAATTTATCTACATATGTATTTTTTACAACTGTGAATAAAATATAGAAAAACAGCATATTTTACAAATATAGATATTATTTTGCTATCTTTATTCAACCAGAGCTTAGTGAGCAATTTTTTTTTACATAGCAGTCTCTAAGGGCTGACTATGCGATCTACTGGCTTCGGTGATAGCAGAATTTTCGGGGCTGTCAAAATCGAAGTTAGTCTCGAGAATCGCTTCGGATCGTGATCGTTCGTGTAACTCGGATGAGTAATCGTCGAAATCGTGCGAAGTTGGGGTCGAATCGTAACTTTGTTGTTCGTAGTTCGAGTAAATGGGTGGAGGGCTAGGAACATCTTCCTCGTAGTTAGGTACCTCTGTAAGTAATTTTTTAATTTAAATTTGAACAAGTAGTGGCAAGAATAACTACATATTGTAGATAAATTATACATTATTTTTGTAGTGCAACACTTGAAGCAGACTTAGACAGAGGGTCTTTACGACTGGCGTGACCGACTAACGTATTTGTATTGAAATGGTCACGTGACAAAGCTTGACCTAATGTCATTCAAATTCAAATTATTTTGGATGTAGTGGGTCACGCCTATCCTAAAGTGATTTTGTCTTGAGCCCCTGCAATATGTCTATTGGTAACTATAATCTTTGTTTACCTATGACCGTATTATATTAACTGTGTGATTCTCAATAACGACCATTTATTTTAACTGTTGATTTAAAATTGCTATTCTGATTTCGTAATATATAATATGTAGTTATTTATACAAATAAAACAGATACTGAGTTTCCGAATATTAAAATATATTATACAAAATTTCAATTGATCTATTACCTGGAGCACGTCTTTGACTAAATGTTGTAGTGGAGTGAGGAGCTGGGGCTTCTTCGGGCATACGAGACCTTAATTCCATCAAGAAGGAAAGCTTCTGCTGTGGATCGTAAGATGGCGCTCCATATCTGTTATATTAAATGTTTGTATGTTTTGTTAGAATACCTACATATGCAATTTAGTTTTAGTTTTGAATTATTAAAATAATAATGTATATTATAATCTGATTAAGATCAATGATATATAAATTACTAGCAAACTCGGCCAAGCGTTGCTGTGGCTAAGGTTTTTATTGTATGTATATTATATTACATAGTAGCAAAATATTCAAGGGAAACGGTAGGAGAACACCAGTCATTGGGACTACCATGCTTTTTGGTGGTTATGCCATTAAATTTAAGCTTATGTGAAACGTTGGTACTTTCAACACAGCGCCATCTGTTAGAATTGTGACTATCAAATAATAAACAAATATTTTGCAATAAAATAATATTGCGGGTATAAATTGAGATGTATCCTATCTTTTAAGTTGGATCAAACTACACACGGTGTGCAAATTGGATTGATATCGGTTCGTTAGTTTGGGAGTCCATAGCGGACAAAACAAATAACGTGACGCGTAATTTATATATATTAAGATTATAAACTCTACATAGATCATAATTATAATAATTTAAATTTTCAATCATTTTATAATAATGATAAATGATAATCTTAAATGTATTAAAGTATTGCATGAGACAAAAAAAAATCACAGTCTATGGCTAATGCTCATACTAAAAAATCTTACCCATATATCTTTCCCTCTCTCTCCAACTCCCGTTTCATTGCTATAGGGTCGTCGTTACTCTCTCTCAAAGGCAGAGTATCTGACGTGAAGTAAGGGGAAGTATCGGATTGTACAACATCATCGGTTAAGCCACCCGGATGATGAATTATTGGTAACTCTTCAGTCGCTACAGTGTTCATAGATGGCGCTCCACTCGTTGCGCCTGAGTTGTCTCTGTAACCTGAAAAAATACAAGTCAACAATTTGAAGTTCCGATCTAAATGTATTTTTGTTGAACATTTTCACCGTGCTTACCGCGCCCATGGATATCGTCAACGTCAAGAAGCCTACGAGTGTGTTGCCAGCCTTTAAGGAAATAGTACGTAAATAGTCTTTTCTTGACTTGAAGTTATAATGGTCATTCAGATTTTTTTTATTAAGCATCTTGCATTAATAGATTTATATAAAACTAGTTTAATTAAATTAATTTTAAAATTGTTTTTTTAGCGTTACAAGTTACTTCTTATAATAAAAAATAGATCTCATAAAATCGTTGTACGGCTTGAATTAGAGCTCTTACAAATATTTGATTAAAAACTCAGTATATGTTATCAAGGGCATCGTCACTATTATCAAGGGTCAATCAGTAGAAGTAGGGACTTCTACTGATCCCCTGAACCCCCAACCCCTGCACAAAGCATGAGTTGTATAAAGCAAGTGAAGACGTCAATATGGTGATGGGTGTGCGAAAAAAGTAGATAGAGGTAGGTAGGTTACATGTTATAAAATAGTTTATTTAATGTCAACCGACGCATTTAAAAACTCACCCTCATTTCTAAAAGCCAGGTTAAATGGCCTATTAACATTCTGCGGTACACTGTATTCGGGCGATGCAGGCTTCTTATTAAACGAACTGTGTTTTAATTGAATTATATTATTTGGATTATGTGCTTCGTAAATATCGAAACTCTGAGTGTCCTCCAATGAGGAATTAAATTGACTTTTCTCCATAGATTCCATAGATGTTGTCGAAGCAAGCATTTTCTTATAATCAGAGGCTTTTGTAAGGGTATCTGTTGATCGGGTACTCTGTAAAAATTATTAACTGTTAATATAAAATTAGAAAAAAATTGTGAAATCTCTTACAATTTTTTTGTAAGAAAAATGAGACTTTTTTCAGAGAATTTTTTTGTTAGACAATACAAAAAAAACATCCTACATACTAAACAGTTTTTTCCATCAAATAAATATAAATGAAATATTTACAGAAGTTATAACTTATTTTTTTAATAAAATTAATAGTGCTAATTTTTTAAATTAATTATTATTACGCCAGTATCGTGCATTTTTAAAATTCCTTTTCTATCTATAAATATACCAAAAATCATCTAAATGGTGTATTAACAGGAGGGTTTTTATTATTTTTTTATGATCAAAATTCCTACGTATCTGTTGGGTATGCGTACGTATATTGTGTACGCTTATACGTACACGGAATTGAAACGGTTTCTTTTTACTTTCAGGCTGGTTCAATTGTGAAAGGACTTACAAAAATATAGAACATCGTTCAATATTTATTTTGAAAAACCCCGAAGGCAGTAAAACAAAAATAAATAAAAATGCATAAATTTTTAAAAAAATTACGTAAAACAATAAAATAAAACTTACCATTTGTGTCATTTTCCGCCTGTATGTGTTGTCGGGAAAGCCTCCGTTAATACTTCCAATAGAACGGACTGAATGAAGGGACTGCCTTATAGAGTTGCGTCTTTCCAATCGCTGAAGATGTCTAAAAGATAAATTGTAATTGGACTTTTTTTCCTTGTTTTTGAAGTTATACTTCTTTAGGCGCGTTATGAAAAATTGATGAGAGTGAAATTTTACGATGCGCGCGCACCGTGACACAAAATTAACAGAATGAAGTTGCCCACGGAAGATGCTACGGCATTGGCATAATTTAAAAACAATATTCGAATAATAATAATTATATTTATCTATTTAATCAATAATCTCTCCCTTATTAGCCATAATTATTGTACTGTATTCTAGGACTTCTATTTTCTTTAATACTTTATTTACCCATCTATAAATTCTCTCTATATATATATATTATAATCTCTAAGTAGAACATAAAAATATACCTGTGCTTTGATTTTGAGTACCAACAGATCAATGCAAGTATGACTAAAATCACTGCAGCTACCAGCACTCCGATAAAGGCTACAGCTAAAGTATCACCTTGCCATGACAGCGGGTCTATTTTTATCTTTGGATCTGCAAAATATTAAAAAAATAAATATCGAATAAATAATAATACATTTTTTACCTAAAATATTAGTGAAATCCGTACAAAAAGACGGTAATTTCTGAGATTTTTGCGTTCTACAAGGCGGCCGGGTGATTTTAAAAGAAGGACAAAGCATAAGCAAAAATCAAAATCATCGACTGTTTGGAATAATAGAACACAATTTAAATATTTTTATACATACCAATTTCACAAATAAACGCATTCTTCTGATTACAGTCCGTAATTTCGATATTCGAGAAGGCAAACGATGTACACTGAGTCACATAGTCGATGTGATTCACCCACACACGATCACCATATTGGAACCATTGATTCTGACGTTGAATGAAGTCGTATAACGTTGCATAGTTGCCTGATACGTACGGCATTGATGCGTTATCGGACTGGAAAATAAATATATATTTATTATATATATATATATATATATATATATATATATATATATATATATAAAAAGAGACATACATAAAAAGCTTCTAATTTTACATTTACTGCCAGTTTTCAAATCAAGGGCGTAGAACGGAAGAAAGGAACTGGCAATAAACTCTCCGCCACTCTTTTTAATCGCCAAGTTTTTGTTTTACACAACGTTTGTAAGGAGCTGCAACCATTACACCATGTTCCACATGACATCTTAAGTAATATAATAATAATAATAATAAAAAAATTGTGCGTGTGTACACACGTCTTATCGATCTTATTTTTCGAAAAATGATCTACTATATGCAACTTTACAGAAATTCGTTAAATTAGATAAAGTTTAACAAAAGGCTTTTATTATCATAGACATGAATACAAATATTTTATTTTATATTATTACTATCATTGAAAAACGTGACGATTTGCTACAAAATTTCTCCCATACGTCGATAAAGAAGTTTCATTCCAACGCCGATAAAGAAGTTTGACTTCAAAAAGCAACATGGCGCGTAAACGAAAAATGTGACGCGTAACGAAAAAATGTTACACTAAATTTTTTTCCAACCTCGATAAAGAAGTTTCACTTCAATAAATTAAAAACAAAGGTTTGTCCTCTATCAGCAGGAAGCATGGTGAAATAGGAGCACGCACTTACATTCTTGTGGGAACAACAGGCAAATACATAGTCGAAACAACTAACATCACCGCATACACGAATTCAAGTACGATCAGTCACCACAAAGATAACCTACTTGTCTATAAAACAAAAATGATCCAAGACACTTATTATTTAGGGTTGAAGCGTCATTGAATTATTATTTTCGTTTAGCATACAAGCAAGCAAGATTCATACATTTAATAATATTTTACTGGAATAAATCGCGTATAAAAACAGTTAGATGAAGTCTCTTTTGAAACGCCGGTTAATACTGGATTTAAACATAGTCACGATTATGTAATACAAATTAGGAGTCAGTGAATTAAATGACATGAAAACATAAGTCACTCACCAAACAGAACAGTCTTGCCTCTTCGTACGTCATAGGAGCACCCACATACATATAGCAAGTTCCGGCCACAGAATCCCACCCCCGGGGGGCATTTTCCCCCTCCGAGTACTGTCAAATTGTTCATATAGTATGGTCTATAATCGACTTCTAATAGTAAGGGATTATCAGACTGATCTCGAATTCGACCGGCAACGGCAAAACTCTCATTGTAACTCCAGTAGTTATGTTTCGCGTCTATTCTAGTACGCCAAAGGTCTAGAGCGCTGAAAAGTATGGTTGAATATGTATGAGGTCTTCCAAATGTATCAAGAACTAACTTTGTCTTGTGTACTATCAAAGGTTTAAAAAATATAAAAGAATATTTGACATTCCTTAAAACTAAACCTTAAAATGCTCAGAATGTTTAACAAAATAATAAACGATATCTTTTATATACTATTCATAAAGTTATTGAGCAGAAAATAAACTCAATTCTACGTCAGTTTCATAGAACATTTACTATGGATATTATTTTACTAGGTCGTAATTTCCTTGTCGCCAACCTGTGCTTAACAAAAAAAAAAAAAAAATTCGCTCGTAATAGAACCCAGGAACGTATCAGAAGCTACGGTATTACGTAACGTGTTTAAACATTATATAGAATGTAGTATATAATATTGTAATATCGAAGCTATTTCTAACCATGAAAATTCTTATTAGAAATGGACCACTCACCTCAAGGCATTCGGGTTATAATCGGAAAAGCTAGTCCCGCCAGCCATGCAACAAAAACATGCAATTTATTACCAGACCTCTTAAAACTATTCCTTTTACATAAATAAGTTTTACATAATAAGATATTCTTAGCTACCACAGTTCATGCAATTTCAATGAAAAGCAATGTCCCATATTGTTATCTCTATATATATAATATTCTCGTGTCACAATGTTCGTTCCCATAGTCCTCCGAAACGGCTCGACCGATTCTTATGAATTTTTTTACGCATATTCAGTAAGTCTGAGAATCAGCTACTATCTATATTTCAAACCTTTAAGTGATAAGGGGTGTCCCTAAACAATTTGTTTTTATTTTTTCGACAAAATTTTTTGTTTTTATTTTTTTATGACATAACATCCAAAAATACATACAACCCCTAATTGTCACCCTTCTACGATCAAACCCTATTGTTTATTATAGTAGATAGTTGTTTTTATTGAACTAAAAAAATGTTTCCTAGAAATAATATACATGCAAAACGACGTTTGCCGGGTCAGCTAGTTTTCATATAATAATAAAACAATTTTTTTCCTTGCAATGACACTTTGGGCAAGTACATATTCATTTTATACAATAATTAGACCTAATTTATTATATACAAATACAATTTCTAAATAATTTTAATTAAAAACTTTCTACTTTTATTAAGGGTTAACGGTTATTTAAGCCACAGTAAAGATAGAAATACGTTAAACATAGACCAATGAAAGCTTAAATGTGTTTCCGTTAACGGAAAGACAAGCGGAGCCGAGTTCAAGTAATAACAATTGTTAATATACCACTGAAAATTTAGTGGGCAAGTGACAGTACGAGTACAACTGTTACATTATATATTATTGCACATTATTTTCAAATGTACAACCATACATATATGCATAAATATGTATATCATTATAATATACTAATACCGCTAGACTAGGTTGGTCTTGGTAGGTATTACCTACCCAATCGCTGAAACTATTAAAATATAAGTGGGTAGCACCTACTAATACTGAATCGGGTAGTTCCTACAAGGTTGCGATATGGAAGCTCCAGGGTGGGGTTACCCTCTAACGGGAGTGTAGAAGATCTATATGAATGATATTTTGGATGAAAATAAATAAAAGCACTTACATGGATCGATTGACTGTGACCATTTCATAGTCGTTATCAGGGTTGAAGAAAATATTGTCGACGTAATGTTGGCCTGCCGTACCCGCTACTACAGTGGCGCGGCATTCGCGGTCCAATGCGTAGTTTCTGGAATATATATAAAATCCTTTTAAAGTACCTGCGTACTGTACAGTACGTAAGTGGTAAAAGGAGTGTTTTTGATGGATTTTCTATATTGCTTACATTCCGATAGTGACGCTGAACAAAATAAAAGGTTTTGATAGAAACAAGAGCAAGAAAATTGTATCTTGATATGTATTTTGTTATTTAAAATGGTGTTTACCATGTTTATTGTTCTGTGCTAAAAGCCAAGAAATAACGAATATTATATTGAGAGACCAGGTTTATATGAAGCTAATCTTATCATAATATTGGCTTTTGTATACACAAGTATTATAAACTTAAGTAAAACTTTTTAATGGATAAAAACGCTTCTTTATATACGGTAAGAGGATTTTTAGATAAAAATAATATATTTGAAAAGATTTTTAACTTACTTATAGAATCCATTATGCGATGTAGTCTGATATATGGGCAGGCGCACTTTGTCAAAGCCTGATATTTCCAAAATCCTCATTCCTGTGTTATCATGGACATAGTTGTGAGTGAAGTTAGACACAACTTGTCGTAAGACGATGACATCTTTGTATCTGGCTCGGTTACGTGTGAAGTAGTTCCTGTAGATTGTTACTTCCTGGTACGGTGATGATTGTCGACCTAAAAGTAAACGTAAGTAATTATAAAAACAGCAGTGTTGGCCTAGCTTCTGCGTGTGTCTCTTATCCCTGAGGTCGTAGGTTCGAACCGGGGCTATGCACCAATGGACCTTTTTTTAACACTCACTTGTACAGTGAGGATGTTTTTTTATATTGATAATAATGTCAAACCGCCAGATCTGGATTGATATAAGTCTGGTGTCTAATACCGTTTTCTCTTATTTTTCAATTGAATAAAACAATAATAATTTATAAGAATCAAATATCCTAACACCACCTCACTGTTGGACAACTTGACTGCGAAAATCGAGCACTGTGCTCGCAACGAATATGTTACGCCGAAATTTTAACACAGCATGCTCGATTACACCGCAACATTTGGTTAGTACCCACCTTTAGACTCAAAAATTAATGGCGTGTCTCAGAAGGCTGAAAGCAAATGATCACGAAACAGATGACGAATGATCAGATACAGAAATCTGAGCTCTAAAATTTTGTAGCGTCACTGGTTTTTATTTAACCAAATCAGCTAGGTACATCCTTTCATGTTAAAATTTAGGATTACGACCAATCAAACAGTGTGTCTGCGCAACACCTCTTTGTAGAACCAGCTGCCAGTAGAGGTATTTCCGAATCGATACGACTTAGGGGGCTTCAAGAAATGGGCGACCATTCCCTGAAAGGTCAGCAACACATCCGCTTGCCCCAGCGTTGCAGGTGTACACGGGCGGCCATTGTCACTTTATTCAAAGTGCTCCCCTGCTCGTTTGCCTGCTGACCCAAAAAAAAAATCTCTATCCTTCTAAATCAAAATATTACCTTCAAGTTGAAGACAGGGAAGGTCATGGTTCGCATAGAATAAATTATTGTGTATCCATCCTCGTAGCGATGTGGCCGAGCCTCGAGAATCAGCTCTTGCCAACAAACCACCAACATTGTTGCGTACTAAATTGTTCTGGAAATATTTTAAATTAATAAATTCTACTGCAATAAATACACAACACATATATTTTTGATAGTGTAGAGTTAGTTTCAGCACGTAACTAACAAAAGATGTTGAACGGCGAAGGAAAGCTGTCGAAAAAAAACTATAAAATTACTAACACGCGTCAAATAGCCAACCTTTTTGCGAACACTATATCCCATATTGGATGAATATGAGTATGTAGAAATGATAGATTCGATATCAAATGTATACTTACTCTAAAAACGAGTGTTTGAGTGTTTTGCACATCTACCCTCACAGCAGCTTGACAAGTAGTGAAGTTCCCGTATAATTTCAGGCAGTTATCATTGAATTCGTTCCGTATTATTGCCACAAGAGGATTCACTTCACCCACCGATTGATAAGTGATTGCTCCATCACGGTTTCTTGTGAAGACGCTGCTCGATATGTTATGCTGGACGTCTCGATCTGAAATACATATCCACATATTGGTAACATTATGGAACAGTGAGCAATACGATTTTGTACGGTAAACCTAAGCCGTGCCTCGTGGAAGTACTGAATCATTTATATCGTATAGTATAATATGAAATATGCTCGAAAGTTCAAGTAAGGTATTGATTACGTATTCAAATAGTTTAGGAAACTGGAAGTTTTTTGTTACTAAGGTTAGGCGTACTTGGCTTATGCTTCACTAGAATAATCCATACTCATTGAAAATATGAAATTTGTTTGTAACAGAGCATTGAAGCCTTTTTTATACTTTTAATCAAATTCTACGTAGACGCTTATACACGATATACGGTACGGTAAAATAAAAAATGAATTATATTAGACTAGCAGACCCGACAGACGTCCTGCATATTTCAAGAGATTAGGATATTAAACAAAGTATGAAAATTCAAACGGCAGCGCCATCTGCCGGGCTGATTTGTAAATCTAAACCATCCAGGGCTCGACCCAAACGCATACAAAAAAAATCATTCAAATCGGTCCAGCCGTTTAAAAGAAGTTCAGTGGCATATACACGTACAGTAGAATTATATATATATGTAAACTATCTTTTAAGTTAGATCAAACTGCACACGATGTGAAAATTTGATTGAAATCGGTTAAGTAGTTTAGGAGTCCACAGCGGACAATGTGACGCGTAATTTATATATATTAAGACATTTAATATAATACTTACTGATCCCTATTGCTGATATTGGTAATGTTACAATCTCCGCAATGAAACCATGAACAGATGATGCACCATTCGCAAAGAGTTTAACACTTAAACTCGCACTTTCACTTTTAAACAGTTTCTTTTCATCAGGCGACCCATTCTCTAGATATCCAATCTGAGGTGCTGTGATATTGTAAATGTCTCCATCATAAAGCGTAATAGAATCTCGTTTTCCATAATTCAGCGTATGGTTGAATAGGTTAAACTGGAGTAGTCTAAATCCAAAAGGCTTCACACGATATATACTCTTGAATATCTTAACACAGTTCACAGGATTATTATCATACTTGTAATATAGAATTACCCTCTCTTCAACTGTAATGACTTTAGAACTGTCGCATATATCGATAAATGAAAACAAATGATATGGTAAATTTAGGTCTTTCAGGGGTGTAAAGCTGGATTCTTCAGATTCTCTACCTTCGCCAGTCATTGATATAGCGTTAACCCCTTCTCCAAGAATGTCGACCAGAGAGTTAAATCGCATATCAATCGTGTCAGTGGGAGAAACTATATTGATGCCATGGTGCGCACATTGTGTTATATTAACGTTTCTTATTTGCGGATTCTTTATGATACTCTGAATGGCTGGCGATTTTTCGTTATGCAAAATTCCCGCCCCAATTATTTGAATATTCCGAAGCGTACTTTCAACTTTCTTCATCGTTTCATGTGTGTGATGATCATGAATTCTATGTTCGTAAAGTGAATATTCAAACTCTGGATTGGTGAATCTTATTCCTCCCCAATAATCAAGGTTATCTTCCAAGTTCCGATTACCACAATGTAGGAAGATAAAATCAGAGTCCCATTTGCACTCATGCCTGTGTCCGTAAAGTTGTCCGTTTAGTCGAATAGGGCAATCTTCATAACGCTCTTCAATACCTACACATTGTAAGGGTTCTGGCCACGACCAAATTCTAGATAACGAGTTACTGTGGTATTCAACTCGGCGATCGTGAGCGAAAAATACGTTTATTGGATCAAAACCTAACTCTCGACAAACAACTTGTGCGTTTCTTTCAGTAAATCGACTATCGCACATCGGAACCCACTGTAACGTAGTCTTATTGTAGTATTCTAAAAATCCTTCAGTCTTTCTGTCTATATCCTTAACATTATTAGAACAATTCCTTCCAGTGCAGAGACGTATCGAATCTTGAACAACTAGTGATTCTAACTGCCTCTGTTGCCTATGTTTTACATTTCTCGTTGAATATTGACTAATATCCCTTTTCTCTATACGATTTTCCGTGTTGTGACGTGTGATTGGCCTCATTATGATTGGCATATGACTATGGCCAATTGCATTTACAGTTCCCATTACTAGGATGCCAACACTAGGTGCAAATTCTAATATTACTCCAGGATTTACAGTGAGAGTAACGTCAGGCATAACTGTTATATCTGATTTTACTATGTAAGGGTCAATTCGTGGATCCAAAATGAGATCAGATGATAGGCGACCTCCAAGTTCATTTACATCAACAATGCTCTCTGGTGTAAATGTTACAGATACACTAGAGTCAAAGCTATCTTCTAATAAATACGGTAAGTAGGTTGCAATAGCGTGATTATTCCAGTCATCAAAATCAAATATTTGTTTCCTTATTTCTTTTTCATCTGTAGAACCCCACCAATTTTCTGTTACATCCAAAAGATTGTTAGTTTTTGCTGTTTTTATACCAGCCACTAATGAATATTCGACGGCGTTATTTCCGAATAGATTTCTAGAGACTTTAACTTTTTGTATACCTTTAAACCCTATGACATATGTTGGTTCAATATTCGTTACAAGCAACCCTCGGTTGGTTTGCGAATATTTATTGTTTTTGACTTGATTATAAACAAAAACCGCATAAACAAATCCCATTATTTCACTTTGACTGTCCATGTGAAACTGGACCATGAATCTCCCATTATTTCTTTCAATTAAATTACCATCGATCTTCATTTTCTTTTCCATACCACGGACAGAAATCAAGCCACTATAACAAATGTTGTCTGTAAAAATATTTTTGGTCAAATTAACTTCTGCAAAATGTCCATCAATGACTAAACCAAAGTTGTAATTATTTCTCCAAGTATTGTTGTTCATGTAGACCGAATGTGTGAAGTTTTCATTATATTTCCAAACATATGGAAGAGCAATATCGAACCCGCCATATTTATTTCTTTCAATAGTGTTATCTTGAAGTACATAATGATATAAATTATTTGAACTTCTCAAGTCTCGTGCAAAGTGATAGATGCCTTTGCCATTATCAGTGATTGTGGTTTTATTAATCATTATTATTATTTCAGTTATATTGCTTTCATGGATATCCCAAAATGGTGTATTAATGTACACTGCTTCTTCTAAATTCCGTGTGATATCAGAATTTATAATTTTGATAGTTTCATTGGCCTTTCTAAGAAAATGGTCGCCAATTTCATTTAAGTATCTGTTATAGTATAAAGCCATGATTCCTTTGGTGTTTCCTCTTATCTTTGAATTTGTGATCGTAAGTGTCGGTACAGGTCCTTTTATTATCTTGTTACGGATGTTTTGAACTGGAGCTACAATAGTACTCACCACTAAGATGACTCCACCCAATGCATTATAACCACTACTATATTTTAATACTACTCCGAAACTATTACTTGTTGTTGGGAAAGTTGAAAGATCCCGATCCAGACACCATATAGTACTTCCTTCGTTAATATTTTGCGAGTCATATATGCAAATACTTTCACTTGAAAAATTGTGAATAGGATTTAGTAGTTGCAATCCAAGAACATAGCCAGGATTGCATTTGATGTTATAAGTCCTAACAATATTTTCTCCAAATTGTTTATTGAAAACAATATGCCTGGTCTCACCGTTAGCAAGAGAAATATCAGTTTGATACTCAGGTATTATAATAGGTCGATAGCTTGATTCATCCATGTTAAAACTAGGATCGAAATTAAACCAACCCGCTAATTCTCTTTGTTGGGCTCCGGTCAAGTGTGGATTATGAAATATTCCTGCTACTTTATTATTTTCAATAATAGAACTGTATACTTTCAGACCCAATTGCTTAAAACTTATACCGCTACCTTTATTATTACTGAACTCAGAATTTCTAATAGTGTTTACGGCATCTGCACCATACAGATCTGAATATAATATACCTAACCCATCATGATAGTTGTTGACAATTCGCACGCTTTCTAAACCATGTCGAGCAAAATCTATTTGGAGAGCTGGCTTAAAAACATTTGAAGAATAATCAAGCAAACCTGCTTTTTCAATAGTAACATATTGCAGATCAGCGCGTTCCGCAATTACACTAAAACGAACTCCGGCCCAACTTGTTTCATAGCAGCGTATGCCTACGTCATTTTCATGTGTACATGAATTTTCAAAACTATCTATCGTCTCGGCTTTACATTTGGTTATATCACTATCGAACTCTGTACATTCTACATTTGATAAAACTACGTCTTCAGTTAGACCAGCATTTGGTATTTCATTAGGCTCTAGAAACCAATCTTCAGGATTTAGAGCTAATCCAAGTTGATTGCACACCAAGGCAGCATTTATAATATTCCATTTGTAATTACAAACAGTTCCCCACTTGCCATCCACACGAACTTGTAGCCGACCTTCAAATTGAGTCTTACCGCCTAGTAGTCTTATTGGAACAACTGGTTCTATATATCCAGGAGTTGTTGGTTCTACTTCTGGGTCTATTTCATATACAGTATCATTACTCATTACAACCTCTTCTTTAAGAGTAAATGAGATATCATTAGGTCTTTTACCTCTGGCATCTAGCTTTCCAGCGACCATCATTCCAATAGCCGGTGGGAATTTCAATGTAACACCAGATTGTAGAATTAGTTTACCACCTGGTCGAATGTTTATATCTTTTATCACATCATATTCTCCTTGCCGTAATATTTCTATACCCTCAACTTCTCCACCAACAATGTTGGTACCAGGCACATTAAATTGTGGAACATACAACGAGTTATAATTAATTTGAGTAGCACCAGGGTTACTGCTGTGTAATAAATAAGGCATATACAAAATTTTTGCTAAATTAAATCTGTCCTTTCTGTGAAATAATCGATTGTAAACTTTTTCTTCTTCACCAAAACCTAACCAGTTATATGTACAATTAAGTATTTTGCTTTGGTCTTCCACATGAGAACCTATTTCGTATTGAGCTTCTGGATTATGAATTATATTTCTAAAAACATCAATATTACTTGATGCCAATACTATTGTCGCAGCCACCCGGCTTCTAGGTGTTAATTGTGGTGATCCATCGTTAATTTCAAAAGGTTCTTTTATTTTATTGTCTCTTAAATAATTTCTTGAAAATAATATATATTGAAGATCACTGTAGGGAGACAATCCAAGATTAACGACAAACGGTCCTTGATTACCGAAAAAATAGTTGTGCTGAATATTAAATTGGGCTGGGAGCTTCTCAAATTCCTCTAAATACTTTCCTTCTACTCTGTTTAAAATTATAATTGCACCATATTCTCCATGTTCAAAGTAATTGTATTCTATTTTCCCCATTACATTTATGGCAGGTTGAATTTTAATAGGAACGCGAAGGTTTTGGTAGAATCTATTGTGCCCAATTTGCAGATTTAGCAATTTACGCGGCTCGTTATAAAGCCAACATGTAGCTATATCTAATGTGCTCTCTGCACTTGAATTGAACCAGTTTCCAGTTACATTAATCCAACTGTCACCACAAAAATTTCCATGCAATATGCCAATATCTAAATTTTTAAATATTTCTGAATATTCAACTACAGTTGTTTGATTTGTTGGAATATATTCAGTTTCCTGTGTATTATTTATCCATACTGCTATGCCGTATCTCTGGTTGGAGCTTATAATACTCCTAGATATATTGCGGTTTCCTCCAGTAACTGTGACGTTTATTCCATCACCTTGATTGAAGGATATTCTACTTTCCGTAATGTTGATATCGCCTGCCCCATTTACAACTTGCAGCCCAGCAACGTGGTTATTATTTGAAATCGAAGTTCTATGAATATGAATTTGGGATCGTAAATTTTCAATTACGACACCTCGACCATTATTATCCGAAATAATAGAATCGGTCACATTCAAATCATAAGTTTTGCTTATCCCTGACGTCAATCGAAGAAACCCAACAATATCAGTCCTAGTATTAGCGTGAAATCTCACATACATTCTGCTTCTGCTGGATGTTACACTTTGGGGTCGTGTATAATTTCGAATACTGAATGCCATTAATAACTTATCTTCAGCAGTTAAACCGTCATAGACATAGATATGCCCAGTATCATTTTTATTTGTTAAAAGCTTTATAAAGCTCAGTGTTAGAACGTGATCGGATCTCGTATAAAATTTCTGATGACAATCTCGTTCCATGTTTGAATATCTGGACTGTTCTATAGACATCGTTATGGGAAACGTTTGACTAGGTGTAGATGCGAGAGTACAAAGATCAAAAACTCCTGCACGATCAAATCGCTCGTCAATATTCATTTCGTGCACCACGTATTTGATTCCGTCGCCACCGTTGTCGTGAATCAGGCAATTTTCTATCTTGGTCATGCCGTAGGTTGAATTTACATAAACGCCGTAGCCTCTATTGTTTTGTATCGTACAGTTGTTTATGACTATCGGTGCGTTAGGTGATGTCACGTTGATGGCATTGAAAGCTGAATTGGATATTTCAATATCTTCCATTACTGGAGGCACGCCAATAACGTCGATCGCGCTCGTCGCGTTGTTATCTCTACCCAATCCTGCATTCTTAACAACTATGTGAGATAATCTTGACATTGAAGTGGGGACATAGAGAGTATTTTCCGCTGTCAGGATTCTCTCGTACACTGCATTTTCGAAGCGTAATCCGCGCCAATGTGTACCGTAGTTTCTAAGTTCGTTGTCATCATGATGAGGTAGACATTGAATAGCTAGATCGGGATGATAATCACAGACTCCGGAGCCGAGTTGTCGTGACTGCCAATCGCATTGAAACAGGTCGTATTCTGTGCCCTTACACTTGGGCTCTTCAAACAAAAGTCGTGCACGCCGGCCGGGCTGACGATCCATCCAATTGTAAAATGTTCCACCCATGAAGCCTAATTGCCTGCAAGCCGTTTCCATGTCGTTAACGGTCCAACTAGAACAACAAAGAAAATATTAACTTCTGGTTGAACAACGTACTTACGTTTATTTAGCTATCAAAATGTAAATGACTTTTTGGTAAATAATCTTACTAAATACATAATAAGCATTTTAATTTACCTAACTTGTTCATGTATTATTTTGATTAAAAAACTTGGACTATCTTAGCAATCTGTTTTGTAAGGCTTTTAAACTTTACGCGATTTTATAAACATTACTTTATATAGTAAAATGAACTTACTTTCTTGAATTTGTACACACAGATCTCCATTGTCCTCTATGCAGTAATTGTACTCTTCCAGTCAAAATCGAAGGCCCATCAACTAGACGTATGTCTGGAAATGCCTTAGGAGATTGACGTTCCTCTGTGCTGGTAAATGTTATTTTACTATCTGTTTCGCCCTGAAATAGAAATAACATTTATTATACATCAATTTTATCACAACCATATTTTGTTATGAATAAAGATTATTATTACGTAAGTATTTAATCTTAATATTGTGTCAAACATTAAATTGCTAAATAATTAATTGTTAATAAATGTATACAACCTCATTCAATTCGCCATGGAAAATACGCAATATTTTTAGACAATACAGTCATTTAACTATAACTGTTACAGAAACCGGAATCACAGTAGACTAAACCCCTAGTTTTCGTAACATCTTAACAATATGAACTCTGGCGCATGTCCGGCTATTCATACCTAAAATTATTGACGCTTTCATCACGATAAAGCAATTCTTTCCTAAACAACATTGTCTTGGTTCATCCAAACATAATCGATTAAAAAATGAATTTGCACGTAGTTCGCTCTTATACTGTTCACACTGCATACGTTATTGTTGGTAAAAGGCTGTGAAAACAGATATTTGCAGTCCACTCAAAACAAGTGGATTTCATATTAGTCCATGTCTGAGCGACATGGTCAGCTAGGAAACATCTTAAGCGGATTGTCTGTTTCCATCGGTTCTTGTCTACTGCCGCACACATTACTATTACACTGTAATCTCTTTATAACGTCATTTATTAGTTTGGTTTAACCCAAAACCCATACATGAATTCATTCTTTATAACGCTGCAGCCATTCTCTATAAACAAGAAATATTTCATATTTAGACATCAACAACATACTTAAGTGTAATTGTTTTTATAATCAGCTTACAAACCTAACTTTATGAGTTGCCGAAATTTTAGAACAGCCGTCTCGCTTTTGTTATTGTTAATTGCATTAACACCTGTGCAATTATTATTAGATTAGATTCTTAGATAGTTGTAGAATTAATTCTTATTTTTTTATGAAGATGATTCCACCACATCCCAAGACATGCAAAATACTCAAAAAAATACAAAACAAATATTAGCATAGCAAAAGACGTCAGGCAAAGTTAACAGAATATACGTGTTAAGAATTATTTACCGATTGATAGTAATAAAATTAGAAATTATTGTATTTGGTTAAATTTGGTTTCTTTTTGTCTTCGGTCCGTATAACAATAACTCTCTACAACGAAAAAAATGCTCGGTCCCTTGAAATTCGTTATAAAGAGTTAACACTGTATTTAAAAAAGGGAATCCAAGCGACGTGAAATTTTGGTCACAAAACTTATCAATCTCGAAAAATAAATACACTGTCTACTAAATAAGCTGTGATGACTCCTAAGTACCTCAATGATATAGATACGCTCACTAAGTTTAAGAACTTTGGCATTGCATTTATGCAAATATTTCTAATATTTAGTAATTTAGAAACAGTTTAAAATTATTAAAAAGAAAATTAAAACAAATTTAAAAAGTTTGGTCCCTGTGGCAGTGTACCTTTAACGCTGACAGCATTTCCTCGCTGTATTGCTATACTTATTCGTTGAGCCAGGAAAGTACCAGCTCTGGGGTCATCGGTACTATCTACCAGGCGCCAACTCACACAACTTATTTTTATTATTAATTTGTAGGTTAAGAAAATTATAAATACAAATTATACGTGTAATTTAGAAATAAAACTTTTTACCATTAGGTCATAAGATTGTTGTTTCCAAATTTGTTTATAAATAATATGTATTTGGTACGTCGCGTCGTCGTTCACATTAAGCTCTTAAATAGATCAAATACAGCTTGTAATAAAAACGTGTCAAAACTGTTCACACAATGTAATCTTTAGATGTAAAGTTCCTGTATTTAAAGTCAATAAATTAACATAATCCATCAAAAAAAGCCCATCAGAGCTACCTATGTGTTTAATGAATATTGCCCTTGCACTTGGCTTCCTGCCTTTAGAAGCACCCCATTCATAACGTCACGAACGACTGACTTAACTGTTACGAAATTGCCACCTTTGTGTAAAGTACAGTAACATTTTTCTCTTTGAAATGTGTGTTCAAATACGTATTCACTACTAGCTTCTTTAATATTCGTTTACTAACATAATTAAAATTTCCACTAAAATTTTCCTGAGTTATGATTTACAGATTAGCCGAATCATTTAAAATCTATCTCTTTAAGTACAGAAATTTAGGCCACATCGTGATTACAATTTGATTAAAGGATACGAATGAGTACTTTGTTAAAATAGTGTAATAGTACTGTTTGACTGTTTATAAATGGTTAATAGTAGCTATAAATTATATACATATTTATAATAAAAACCTCTTTATAGTCCCTGACCCTTACAAAAATAAAAAAAATATGTATTAAAAAAATATATAGACATTTTTCTCAAAAACTCTCTTGTTAAGCATTATTTAGTTACAAAATGTTACACATATTGAAGCATGGAATTCAAGGCTAATTATCGGTAGTTTCAGAATTGTTGAATGTGGCCTTGTTTAAGTTTAATTATTTTAAATACAAATAAGTTAAAAAGCAGTATACAAAATTACTTTTTCTATAAGGCTTGATCAAATAAACTAATTATGTCTTCTTCTATTTTTATATAGTAAGGCCTTGAATATGAAACTGCATTTAATATGATACGTTATTTAAGGCAGGTCTAAGAGCCGTTATTAAATTGATACGGACGGCTGGTTTTATTACGAAATAGACAAAAAATTGTCTCTTCATATAAACAAGGACTGCCTCTAGGAATGTGATGAGTCAGCGGGGTTAGTGCACGCGGGGGATAAAAAATAGAACCGCTGGTAGTAAAGGATTTTTTTAAATCATATAACGATATTAGATTATTATAGATGAGTTCAGTAATTGAGAACTTTCACTTGTTACTTACATAGGCAGAGTCTAAAGTCTAGACTCTAGACCCTAACATCTTATTATTAATGCAAAATTAAGTTTAGTTTACTTTAATTCGGAGACTCTCTAGATAGACACTTGAAACGAATATTGTTATTTAAATAAAATCACTTTAATCTACTATATATCATGAATAAAGATTATTATTATTATTATATCTAATAGTAAGCAGTGTGCCGTAACACTACGCGCCCTTTCCCAACTCTGGCGTGATAGGTTTGAATCCCGGCTTAGTACCAATGGATATTTAGATGTGCGCAATTAAAACGCACCTAAGGTAAGTTAATATGCCGACGCACGAAATGTAGCAAAGAACTAACTGGATGGATAAACTGGACTGGATATTAATTTCTAGGTGCCGGAGGTGGAAGAATATCTTAAGAATTATTTGAATATTTTCAAGCCGGATACTACCAGTTGTTTATAAGTAATTTGAAGATGACGTCATGCAACATTAGCACCAAAACCTGTTATAACGACCTCCATGACGCAAATATCAGTTGTAGAAAATGTGCGAAATTATCGAAATAAATTTAATAAATGTACTTTCTCTTCACTGAAAGAAAAAGTGTATAATATTAAATATAATATATAGTAATATGCACGATTTCGCTATATTTACACAACAGTTCACAATTCAATTCACAGTTCAATTCACAATTTTATTAACATACAATTATTATAAACAGTCATGAAAAGAATCTTACAGAATTTGTTAATTCAGTTCAGCTAGTGAAACCATTACAATGGCATTTAGGGTTTTAATAAAAAACCTAACCACGGTAAAAAGCTATATAGAAAAGTAAGAGTGCTTTATTTGTACCTTTTTGAGAATTGACCCGTTAAATTTAACAAGTTTTTAGTCGATCACATATAAAGACCTAAACTATATATTCAACTTAAGACATCTCTTGGGCTTCAAGTTTATAATATTTATTTATTACATTTTAGGACGATTTACAGTATTTTAACAAAAAGTAAATTATGATTCCATAAATACCTTAGGGATATAACAATTATGAATTTTTTGTAGGTCTACCTACACTTAAAATCATGAATGTATTTTTCCTATACTTGGTAGTAACTGGAGGCATTTTGAAAAGATATACCTAGATACTCGTATATTTTATATACCTAGATACTCGTATATATAGTAAGTATCATATGAATTGTTCACTGTATATTCACTGACTTCCGCTGCGACATAAAGTCCTCATCGCGTGGAATGTTAAACAGTCGCCGAACGAAGCTAGGAACACGTGTGTGATGGTATTTCAAGTTACACTTACGCTTAACTATATTTCTCTGATGTGTGGCGATGCCAAAACTAGAGAATTAAAGCGAAAATAGATTGTAGGTACTAGATTAATGGTAACAAATTCAAATGTTTCGTGATTTTCAAATCTGTCGATCTGAAATTAGTAACGGTTAAACGAGAGCATCAAATTATTGCATAACGATTTTAAAAATTGTGAAAGGCATTTCCCATAAACTTCCGTTGTCTCTTTAATCATTGGAGTTTATCAAAATTAGTTTAATTACTGCAGTTTTAGGCACATAATTGTTTTCTTTTCAACGAAATTTTAATACATTTACTTATGTACCCAGACTAATACTTATTTAGGGTAGCAATTGCTTGCTTGCAAAATTTCGCAGCGATAACCCATGAGTCCCTCCTGTCCATTGACCTATAATTATGAGTAAATTTTTACATAGGCTTTTACAAATGTTGACGTTGTTACAATGTTCGTCGACTATCTACAAGATAATCAACAAATTCAAGGCGAAAAATATTAATCTTATTAATTTCAAAATTTTCTTATCTTTGGCTTACGGGTATTTATTTATATAAAACTTTTTAAACAGTTTTAAAGGCGTTTATTTTATAATTTACATCGTCCCTTACTACAGCGTTACAGCTTATCAAATGTACCGTTTTAATCGTTAAAAAGAGACCAAATTATACAACGGATAGAAAATTCAATGCAGTGTATACTGCAGAGACTAAATAAATTAACCTTACGGTATATATATTCTAGAAAATAATTGTGTTAATAATTACTGTAGCTAAAGCTATGCCTAGCGCAAAACGATTAAATGTAGATAATCTCTGAAAAGCATTGTCACGCTTTTCATGATCACAACCAGAGCGAGACGAT